TCTCGAATTCATTTAAAACTCACTAGTGTGTGGCCCGTGCGATGCACGGGAAAAAAAATATTACGTTTGTATTATAAATTAAATATATAAATAACATTAATCATAATTTATCCATTATTTTTAAATTAAATCGGGTTGGACACAGTCCGACCGGATGGACCGAGGACCGATTTATAACCAGTCTAGTTCGCTTGAATAAAATATTTGCTCTCGAATCCGTCACCACCAGTCGGTTGGACTGATAGGATCGATATGATTTTCTAAATAAATTTTATTATATTTAAAAATATTTAAATAAAATAAATATTTATAAATTATTTATCAATTAGTTTAAACATTTCAAAAAAATAAGATTAATTGATTGATTATGCAATTTAAAAAATATTTTTAGCGTTCAATTTTTTTTAAGGCACAAATATAAAGACCGAGATTCAAAAACTTTTGTTATATTTTGAATTGAGATTTTATAAATATAGAGACCGAGATTTAATATTGTTTGTTGTTTCTAAGAAAAAAATAAAAATAAAAACATACACACTTAATAAATTTTAGCCAAATTTTTTAAATAATAAAATGAACTAAAGCCCAAAATTTAAGGTAGCATTTAATGTTGTATGATTTTTAAAGAAAAATAATAAAACTTACTATTTATGGGCTGCATTAAATTATTGACCTATTTTTTTGCTACTATTTTTGGTAAATGTTAATTCTTATTATATATATATAGATTCACTAAATGAGTTGAACTCAACTCGATCAAGCTCAATAAAGACTCAAACTCAAACTCAACATCAACTAGGCTTGACTCGTTTATACTCTCATACCCCCCACAAATGCCAGAATCCAATAAATTCATAGCACATATTTTATTAAATTATGTGATCGATAATTTTATATACAAATTGAGAAGTATTGTGTTTTGGCAGTCAACTAAGCCAGTCAAGATAGCGGCGGTCGAAATTTAGTTACCAAATTTTCGGAACTTTCAACACAGCTTCTAAGATTAATCCCATTATAAATAATCAATTGATAAGCAAACAGTATCCATTTATTCACAGACCAACTATCAATTTTCAAATCAGACCTAATACTATTTGTCAACCTAATCATATTTACCAAACACTATCGAAAATTTTATTATACAATTATCATAACCACCGTATATTCTGAGGAGGCAATATCTTGCTTTTTTTTTTGGGTCCTAAGGCTCCGAATATTACGGGTGGAATGTACCTTTTGAACCGCGCCACAATTCCTAACCCGTGGGGCACAAAAAGCTGAGCATCAAGAGATTATTTATAAAAAAAAACTCATTAGAAAAGTGCTTTGGGCCTAATCTAATATATGCCTAGGAAGATTGCCACGTAATAATGACATAATTAAGAAAGCGGGTTTACATGACAAAATCGTCCTAACAATTTAATAACTTGATTAAAAGTTTAACACCAGAATTTAAGCCAAGATTGGTGATTAAGGACAGAAAAGTTGGTCATTACTGCTTAAAGGTTGAATAATTATGAGTTTGGTGGTTCAATTAAAGACGTGGATATTTTAACACCCCTAAAATTATAGATGCTCTATCTCATGAATCAGATGAGAAGAGACAATGTATATACATGCATGAAAAATAGTTAGTGAAATTAATTTGTTTATATCCACCCCTACATTCATCTTACTCTTATTAATTTGTGGTGAACAATTATGAAAATAATATAATAAGACAATCCATAATTAGTTTTAGATTCCAACCCTTTCTTTTTATTTTTTATGTAATAATTTAATGTTTTGATTAATATCATACATGTATTATACAAAAGCTTTCAAAATTTTATGATTTTTTAATTATGATATTAGATAAGTTATTAACTAGTTTACTTCTTTCTATAATTTATAAATAATTTGATATTTCTTTTTGAACCATTAATTAACTAAATATGATTATGGCTCCATTTGCGGTGTTTTTGGTACAAGGGCTTTGGTCAGATTTCTATATTATCATATGTTCTTGCTTTAGCTCCAAGGGCCCCCAACAACTTAAATCATTGTTATCCAAAATAGTCCGAAATTAAAATCTCGTTGGCTGGTGCTAGTGCTTAGACATTTCGGGAAATCATAATCACATAAAACAATGAAACAGTAATTTAGTCTGATTCAATAATTTGAGTTCCCAATTAAATTAGTCATTTTTGTTCTTTGAAAATTAAAGAATCCCTGTCAATGGAATTCTCAATCGTCATCTAAATTAATTTTATTCTTGCTTTGTATTCTTTAAATATTTAATTCCAAGTGTCTCTATTATATAGACTGTATTTTATACTTATGCCGTGCATATCCTGACAAAATATGGTGTGCAACACTATAAATATTTATTAAAAGTTAAAAATGGACTTGTAAAAATTTCATTATATTCTAAGTTACTGTCTGAAACGACCCCTCTAACAAACTGTAGCTTCACAATCCCAAAATATATGGCCCATGCAAAAACTTTGTTCAATTAGTGTAAGGGCTCCGTTCTAATCATTGAGCAAATCGACATATCATAGACTATCGTAAAAAATGTATATTTATACAATCAAATTTCATACTGTTGTTTAACTATTTTATGTTCAATAAAATGCCTATAAACACTGTACATACCTGCAGCATGGCACGGCTTGTATGACATTTCACAGTTTCACATGAATCACATCCACACTTTGAACAGCCAAACGCATATAGAAAAACCCGACTGCACAAAATCTGTTGATCATTAATAGTCAGTCGAGGAATATTATTGCAAGAAAATGTTCATATCAAACCAAGATTTACACCAACTTATAAATATCTCCTATTGTTAACAACATGCAGGGGATTAATGAATGCAATTCCTGGAACTTTTATTTTCTCTATCTTTTTCCACATGACATAGTGAAGCCACAGGTTGGATAATGATCTGAAATGCCTGGAAGTGGAGTATCAAGATATATTGATCAGGTAAGTCTTTCAGCTGAATCTATTTTTGCAGTTAATAACTATTTTGAACTGTTGCTGAGAAATAAGTCATCTGTTTTTACTTGCGTACTTAACAAAGATAGAAAACAGAAATCAAATGGTATGTAGCATAAATAAGTTCCAATCGTCTTATGACAAAATATCCTCCATTGATGAAAACATGTAAGCTCACCACAGATAGCTAATGGCCAGCACAACATTCAACCATATTATTTAAATAACTACCAATTAGCCTGATATAAATATTCTGCACACACAGATATGGCATTCAAATCGTCATACAAGATCCATATGAAGACTGTCTTGCTGCAATGAGGCTATATGAGAGAATGAGATCACAACTTCATAACGTGGGAGATAATCCTATTCCTATGGCTTCCGACCCATAAAACCAGAACAATTTAGCATCAAGAAAGCAAAGTGACTAAAGAGAATTACAACACAGCAATTTGAAATATCAAGGTGGGACTATTACTGTTAGCTGTTTTTAAAGATGTCAACAAGTTTGTATCGAGCGAGGTAGTCTGATTTTCAGAATTCGAGTAAGCATGATAACAGTCATGGAATATATGCCTACCAACTAGATTATGGTTCTGCTATTGCTAAGGTATTCTAAATTTTTTTTACATCACAGATTATGGGTACCAACATAAGTTTCAATAATGGCCTTACAATTTTATTCGACAAAGAGCATAACAAATTACTTTCTGTAGACATTAGTATCACTAATGTACACAAAAGTTGAAATCCTCATGGGTTTTGCCAGAATTAAATGATTTCTATTTATATCACATCTTTTGATAACTACGTTTGGAAACACCATCATATATTCTTCTGCAATCATAGTTCACATGATCCTAAACTAGTTTCCTTCACACTTAAGAGGTTTGTGTTTAAATATATGCATTCTACCCATAGCTTAAATTTCCCAGCACCTCCATTGATCCCAAAAATTCTGTGATGATAGCTATTCAGGACAGTAACTAAACTAGTTTGCCATACATCATAAACAGCCACTCCACTTATATTTATAATCTTTATGAGTAAAAAGGACGAACCATCCAAATAAATGAAAAATCTAAACTTGATATAAGCAACAAATATGAAAATAAAAGATCGCAGACATACTTGCAAGGCGGGCTCCGATGTCTTCTGTATGGACAGGTAACGTTTGATTAATTGAAAATAAAATAAATCTTGTCAAAAAAAAGAGGATTCAAAGTAGATTGTGCCATAACTATGCAATTCGAACACTGAAGAACTTGAGAAAAGCGAATTTGAGCTATGTTATTGGTTGAATTAATCGTGTGAAGAACAGCAGAAAGGCGGGAAAAGAAAAGGTTAGTGGCGCGTTTGATGAAAAGTGACAAGAAACTTTTTAGCTCACCCACTCGCGCGCGATATATCTATATTTCTCTGTTTACATGGTGAGCCCAAATCTCGATGGGCTTCGATAATGGACTAGGCTACTACCCTTTCATATGGGCTTTACCTTTTTGGTCCTCATGATATATAACAAAATGCATGGGCTGGCTTTCCTCTTCCCAGGGTCCAGGAACGAGTGGATCCACATAGGCGATCTACACTAGTGAGATGAAGATTTGGGCCGGGCCATCTATGATCGTCACGGGCGATTATATCAATATTTGGGCTCTGTCTATGTTTTGGTAAACTACAATGTCAATATTTGATATATGTTATGTTTGATAAACCTAGTTTATAGCTAATAAGTTAATGAGTGAATTTTGAATTTATAGTTGATAGTTTATGACTGATGAGCTAATTGATAAAATAAAATCATTTGGTAAGACTAACTATTGAGTATTTTAAAAAATAAACTCATCCTACCAAACCAACCTTATTTGCATACATGAAACTTATAAACTAACTAAATAAGTTATAAACTAACTTATGATGCTTATCAAACACACTCTCTATAAAACTCTCGCCTTCACATTTAAGTGGTAAGAAAATCTCTAAGGAACAAAATACCAAGAAACGCATTCTATGGTATGACTTGAAAAATATAATATAATTGAAAGAAAAAAGTGTAGGGAATAATCATTTTATGTAAATTTAGTAAAAAACGATGCAGTTCATGTGCAGCGCACATGCACCTTACTACACTACACCTTATTAGTTCACATAGAAAATCACATGTTACTACTGTCTACTACCTTGCGAAAAAATCGTACGCTTCGAAATATTTATCTAAAACTATGTTATACAAAGGATGGACAGGCTCGAGCAAATTTGAGTAAGGGCCCACTATATCCTTCGGCAAAGGGGGAGATTCTATGTCTCTTACGTTGCTATACTGGCAGATAGACAGCCCGCTTAAAACATAACATGTATGGTAATGGTCTCGGCGCTTTCCCGGCTTATCTCTAAAACCTGCCTCCTCCTACAACAAATGTATATNTACTTTTACGTATAAAAGTAAAAAAAAAAAAAAAAAAAAGGAAAAAAAAAAAACAAGGAAAAACAAATGTAAAAACAAACAAATCCCCGGATTTACATATATTGTGAATTGTGTGTATTTGCATCCCAAAGGCACTTGGGTAACTAAGATATATATATTATACATCGTCCTAGCATTTTTTGTTTTAGGGGCCATTGGAGATGTGGTAACTAGGGAAAAATCGTAAACTAGAGAAAAAATCATAATTTAGCTTTGGACATACACTGAAGTCCAACTTCACACACACTCGTATTATCTTCGAACTGTGTTCGATTTGATTGAGTTAACAAAATACTTCTATGTGCTAAGTTGTTATTGGGGATAACAATGAGGATTTTATTTTTGTAACACTTTTACCCTTTCACACAACATTCAGGCTGGCACTGGAGAAGGAAGATACAAAATGAAGTGACTCTCATATACCTGTGTGCAAAGAAGGATGTATTGTTGCAAGGCCATGCTGTTGAAAACAGGTTTCATTCCTATTGGCCCTTTGATAAATTCGTAGCCGGTACTTTTCATCCTTAAGCATGAAGAATTAGGTTTCCCTGCATTTTGTGGAGTGAAGGGCCAAAATAGATTAGACGTGCCGATTAAATTTACGTGAGTTCATGTCAAAAGAAAAAAGCAACATTAACTCATGTTTGAAGTATATTAAGAATGTGTTTGGTAAGCACTATATGGTCAGCTTATAAGCTTTCTGTATACAAATAAGCTTGGTTTGGTAAGACGAGCTTTTTTGAACACAGCTCGAACTTATCTCATAAGCTTCATAAGCTTCTTTGAATAACTTTTCAAATAAGCCCGTTAAATTTTTTTATTTTTTTCGATCGGTAAGTCCGTTGAAATTTTTATTTTAGCTAACTTTACCATACACTTTTATCATATCAACTAGCTTTTCGGCCATAAGCTATCAGCTAACTTATCAACTATGAGCAGATACCTAGCTTATCAGCTAGTTTTACCAAACATAGCCTAGAGCGAGCAAATAGACACATAGACACAATCACGCTTAGTAAAATGAACATAAAAAAGGGAATAGTCAGCAGACGAACTTTTGCTTACCTTCTGGCGTGGATTGAGAGACCTCTTCTAATTGGGAAGAGGCTCCCTCAAAAGTTCGTTCTCCATCAGAATTTGAAGAATCGTCATCACTTTCTGTTGTGTGGTCAAATTTAAAGGTATTCGGTAGGCCCAGTTGTTGACTGACAATCAAATGAAGTCGCTGAATTATTGCGGCCACCCCTCCCTGATTGAAGATTAGGTATCATTACCTATATTTATATTGTTAAATGAGCTTTTAATTGAATTGAAAATACTGAGTATTTCCATGCATTCACCTGCCAAAAGGAGTAGCAGCCATCAACCAACTTATTTGATCTGCCTTGGAATCCACACTCAATGCCTTGTTTGAATACCACCCAATTCTGAAATATTAAGTAATTTAAAGAGCACTTACAATTGCAGTAGCAGATAAGAAAATTCGAATTTGCAGCTGAGCAATCATATATTTACTTTTGCCCTTCAGATCATAAATTTTAGGTATATGATAGAGAAAAGCACCAATACAAGCATATCAAAGAAGATAAAGGTGGACAAATTATTAAATATTATTTTTGAGATAACCAAAGCAACATAGAAAGGAAAATTAAACCATATTATGTAAAATAACAAATGATATCATAAAGGCAGTGGAGATCGAAGGTGAATATTAAGCCAAAAACACACTACTGATAAAATGAATGAAAATAAAGAGACATATGGAAACTTGTACCGANACTATTAGTCCAGGCAAGTACAAACGGTTCGCCTCATTGATTAGAACCATAGCAGCCAAACCACAAAATGTATACCTAACAAAATGCAGATAGGATCTCATACAACAAAAATGCAACTAAAATTGAAAGCTACAGGATGAATCCAAGTCATTTTTCAGATTTTTACTTACCCACCATGAGCTTCTGAACCCGGCTCACCAGAAATTCCACCTTCATAAGTCTGGCAACTGTTAGACAGAGTGACATGCATCAAATGAGTAAAATCACTGAAAAAAAGTTTTGCAAGTACACAAAGAGAATAACAAGAAGACAAATTAGAATTATAAATAGAATTAAATTGCAAAAGAACAAGGTGATGAAAAGCAGGGGAATAGTAGAACAATCAGGCAAACCTTACGATGTAATCCCCAACACCCTGAATCAGCTTATCATCCAAAATGCTAAGAACACTAGCCACCTAAAGAAGCAAGATAATAATTGAAGTAAGATTATTTCCTAGATAAAATAGAATGCATTCAGCCGAACTTGGTTGCAGCATGGAACCCAACGTGACATAGGTTTAGACAACTTAGAGGGCTTAAAGAATAAAACAGTAATAAAGAAAACCATTTACAAGAAAGAACTAGTCCAGTTGCTTCCTCTAATTCAACATCATGAGTTAATTCTAAGGCTATTTGGTAACCAAATAAGCTAGTTTACAGCTTATTTGGTTAGCTTAAAAGCTTCCTGAATTTAAATAACTTCATTTGGTAGGACGAGCTTTTTTAAAAAGCTCGAGCTTATCTCATAAACTTCTTTTGGTAGCTTTTCAAATAAGCTCCGTTGAAATTTTTATTTCAGCTAGTTTATCCGCTAATTTTACCAAACACTTTTATCATATAAGCTAGTTTTTCAGCTATAAGTCATAAGCTATAAGCTATAAACTCGAAAATCACTTTTAAGTTACCAGCTAGCTTATCAACTAGTTTTACCAAACATAGCCTAAGGATCCTGGTTCTTTCCACACAAGGGTATTTACAATTGGAACCAAATATGTATCACGTTAAACCTTCATTATTGGAATCAGAGAACATGCAGTTTTGCACATAAAGATTTGGATTTTCTGCTTGCAAAGCAGAAACAAGATGTTAATTATCTATTTGGAGAAAGATGTTCTTGCTACCAGTTATATCTTATTTAAAGAGTTCAAGATATTCGAGTGGACATGTAAGTCAACCATGTTTAAAGAAAGCGCTCCGACTTACAGATATAGCAGTGTAGCAAGCACGGACATCTATTTCTCCACCATCATGCATCCTGAAAAAATTATAAGAGGAATTGGTTTAAACACATAAAACATGCACATGACTCAATGGATTGATAGATGAATAAATCCCCATGCACTTTTAATTAGTCAACAATCACCAAGATCTTTTAGTATGAAAAAACTTGAAATTTTGCACATTCCAACACCAGTAACATGAAAAACACGCAATATTACTCTGTGTCACCTGAAGCCACCACTTGAGTCTTTCATTCGCAACAAAAATTCATAAAGCTTCCCTCTGCAAGCCAAAATTCAATGTGAATAAAACGAAAGGATGAAATTGGAAAGGTAAATTTACAAATGGAAAAAGGTTATAAAATGGAAAGCGATAGTTACCTATTTATCGATGACAGTGATTTATGACCACCTACAGTTAACAGTGTATTGATCGCAGCATAAGTTGTCGCCAAATGAGGCATCTGACCCAATTGAAGAACCCAAACAACTAATCACACACACATTTAAAAATGCAGAAAGAAAGTATAGTGTACATAAAATGCGATTAAAAAGTCCATTATAATAAGATGCGCCAAAACAACCCAAAACTTTACAAAACGTCTCACCTGGCCTGGTCCACCGCCATAACCACCATTTTGATCCTGTAGTAACATTATTAAATGAGACCACGGACAAATATAGCATATGCATTAACAACAACAACAAGTTTGATAAACTAAACTTCAAAATGTGGTCCAAAATAAAAAACCTGGCACCGTTGAAGAAACCCAATTATATCATTTTCCAGTTTGTCATCAACACAGTCCCCCAATAAAGCAATAGAGTGCATGATCCAATAGCAGAGCCAAGGTCGACTGAGAATCAATCACCAAACCAAAAGTTCCATAAACTAAACTTCAAAATGTGGTCCAAAATTCCTCAAATCTCAGAAAAGACTAGTTACAACATCAACATGCAACTCATATAGGCGTGTCATTATCTGTTTTCTGCTTCGGATTGTGGATCGAAAAACATGAATAAAAAATTCTCAAACTCTCACGATTTTGTTGCTGCAAGTGCATTCAACTACCTACTATGAGCACACTCTCCATGGCTATGTGAAACTATAGACTGATTTCAATGAACACCAATAGTATTACCTCGAAATAAAAATCAGAACATTATGACATACACGTCAAATTAAATGAATCTACAGCTGATATAATACGTGTATGACTGTGTGTGCGTGTAAGCACGCAGAATATGTAAAAAGTATATTCTTATGTTAGTACAGAAAAAAAAGCTATACTTAGCATCCAGAACAGCAAAACTTGGGCCGAGTTGTTTGAGACTTTTGGTGAGGTATTCAATGTGGTTGTCTCGTCGAAGCTCAAAGCTACAAATTCCACATGCCAAAACATACCGAATCAAAAAATATTAGAATCCAAAATTTAAGTTATGGGAATATAAAATCAACTAGCAAACTGATTGTGCCAGACAAACAGCACTAACTGTAGTAAACAGTACGAAGCTCACTTGACGGCTTGAGCATGAGGAGGAAGCTGGTGGACAATATCGTAAATCCGAAAGACTTGATTTTGAATCATCCACTGCTCTTCCTGTGACTTGGTAGCTCTCTTGTTCTCCATAGGGAAACCACGCCGTTCACTTCTCAAATTTTTCTGTAATCGGCAGAAAAGGAACAACAAAGAAGACAAGGCCGAGCCACCTTTGATCAAATTTTCTGCTGAATAACAACTAACGAAAGCCTCTCGAACCCTTTAGCCTCCCAAATCGAAGTTTTTACCATTTTAACAAACTAAAAAATCGGCAAGGAATTTCGTATATAACCATTTGAAAAAATTGGGTGCGAGCGATGAGGAAGATGGAACTTACCTCTTTAGAGATTTTTCCGTGACACCAATTTCGCCATGCCCGGCCGAGGGTTTGCGGCTGCCTATCGAAGGTAGACGGTGGCCTGATTACCGGAGTAGTGGTGGAGCTGCCTCTTATTTTTTATATTTTTTTATTTTTTCGCCCCTTTGAGAAATTAAAACCCGATTATGGGTTCTGCCTCATTCAGGCCCATGTTAGCCCTTGTACTTTATTGTATTGGGCCTTTCGAATATACACAAAAATCCCACAAGCAGGGTAAAAAAGCCCACTTATCGGCGTTATGCTTCACTATAAAGCATTAGTAAAAGTAGGAGCAGCCGAAAAACAGAGACAGAGCTTGATTGTTGACTCTTTTTCTAGAGTTCCGAAATTTATCTATCAGATGGCGTCCTTCTCACTCAGACGTCCAATAGGTCGGAAATGGTTTGCCGGAATTTCTAATTATCCGATTGTCAAAAAATTGATGGTTGGATCTCGCTCTTCTGCCGAATGTTGTAGGCATAGGTTTAACTCAACGTTAGCCGAGCCTATGTTGTCGCCACATAACCCATCATCCTCGTCATCTCCTTGGCTTATGCTGCCGCCTGCCTTTGACGTCGACGTTAGCGGCGCCGCCAGCAGGAGCTACAAGTTCTACAGCCTCGCCGACAACAAAATCGTAACCCTAAGTACCGAAAAAAGCAGCAAAGAAAGAGAATTAACGAGCCCTCTAATGCATTTTACGGGATCTTCACACGGCTGGGTAGCTTTGTGCGACCACCGTAGCCGGGACTTGTTTCTCTATAACCCAATTACCCGTCGTCATATAAGCCTCCCTCCCTCAAATGGAGTATACAAGAAGGTCATACTCTCGTGCTCCCCAGACGACGACGGACCAAATTGTCGGGCTATCATGATCCACAACGATGGTGCAATGGATTTCTGCTGCCCAGGGTTCAGCAAGGAGTGCACCCGACTCCGACATGATTTGGGCCGGGCCGAGGGTTGTGTCTACTCGAAAAGACACGAAGCATTGTTTAGCCTCACGAGAAACAACGTGTTTCAATCTTGGGATCTTCGGGACCCTCAGTCATGGCCGTGAAGATAGGCAAGGTTAAGCACAAGAGAGTACGTCTGGGCTACCCGAGAATAAAGGGAGTGGAGAAGAAGATGTGGCTGACAGATGACGCAATCGAGCATTTGGTAATGGCCGGGGAGGATCTTCTTGTGGTGACTCAATACGTGGTTTGTACGTTTGATTTTGATGGATTGTATGTGGATGCCAATGACCCGTATGGCTTTAGCTACGAACGAGGACTTCCGGGTGTGACTGTTGATTTTGATGTTCATAAATATTACCCTGAGGATGGGGAACTTAAGTATGTGGAAGGTTCTGGTTCGTGTTTGGGTGGTTGGGTTCTTTTCGTCGGCATCTATGGCGATGCAGTCGCGTTGCGGGCGGCTGATTTCCCGGAGCTCAAACCCAATTCGATTTACTTCACGGATGCACTAGAAGATGCGTTGATTGAGGATGACAATGGCGACTGCCCAAGTGGTGGCCATGACATTGGCATTTTCAATTATGAGAACAAGACTGTGTCGCCATGCTATTTTCCGTGTGATGCTAAGAACTTCAGAAAGACTTTCCCAGCGCCTATGTGGGTTTTCCCAAGTCGTGGATGATTTGGTTTTATGGATTATGCCGTCTCATGTTTCGGTTTAGTAAATGAATGATTAAATAATTCTTATATGGTTGAAATTTTCAAATGCATATGAAAATTAATTGAATAAAGTATCATCGAATGTGTATTGTTCATTACAATTGAGAAACGCATTGGGCATTCGCGTGTGGTTGGAGTTTGAGCGCCGACATCTCAAGAATGCGTATGTTAGAGCTCAGCGAGCTCGAATCAAGGCTCAAGGGCAGCAAACCGCGGGCGCACAACGATGAAGGTGGACGGGCCACGAGGCTGGCTGTTTTGCAATTAATCTCGTTGGATCAATTCGTTAGATTATTATCTTGGCCAATTTACATCCTTGCCATAGTTGATAATATTATCAGATATACTAATGTGCAAACTTATTTGCACATATACAGTATTAGACCTATTTAATTACGTAACTACTAGATAATTAAAGTGTGGATGAAAAATGGTAATTTGCTCTCACCTTCCGTCAGTTACAGGTACAGAGCATCCACAATGCTTTGGGTTCAATCCCAAAAAAATACATGCCATATAAGAAATAGACTCAGTTTAAAAAAATATATTCTTCAATGTAAATAAAAGTAGACTGAGTCCTGCTGATGTGGCAGCCACAAAAAGAGACCTAGTCTCTTTGTATTGGAGTGAATTTTATTAATTTTACATAGTTTTATCGATGACTTGGGTTTATTTACTTGCCACATAGACAAGACTAGACCCAATGCATTAAAGATGCTCTAATGGAAAAACTCAACATACCTTGTGGCACATGGGCACCAAACACTCCTCGCCTCCACCCAAATCCCCAATCCTTGTCCCCAATTTGAACCTCTTCTATGGCGATTTATTGCAAATCGAGCACGAGGGACCTGAGGATGTGCAAAGCGGCATAATTGTAATTACGTGTTTTTTTATGAATATACCGTTTGAAAAAAAATACATGCGATGCATATGGACAATGGTGTTAAACAAAATGCACATTAGTAATTGCATAATCATGTTTATTTTTTGCACAATATATGCACATTAAAAATGCATGCGATTCATAATTCACAATATTGTTAGACAAAATGCACATTAGTGCATGTGAGATTGCACTTTAGCATAAAAGTGTAGTAGTGCACCGACCGAAACGAACCGAAATAATTTTTTTGGTAAGGTTTATATATGTCGGTCTGATTATAGTTTTTTACTTTTAAACATTCGGTTATTTCGGTCCGGTTTCGAATTTATTTTTAAAATAACCAAAATAACCTAACCGACCACACTATATAAAAAATATTATTTATATATAATCATGTCTTTTTAAGTAAAAAATAATATAAAATATTAAAATACTAAATATTTATATATGTGTATATATCACTTCTTTTAATCCAAAAAATAATTGCACAATAATGTTTAATGCATTACACAATAGCGTGTTTGGATATGCACATTAAATTACTTGCTTGGATATGCACATTAAATTACTTGCGATGCATGTTGCACAATAGTATTAGAGAAGGTGCACATTTGTACCCGTGAGATTGCACTTTAGCGTAGCAATGTACCGACAAAATAGACCGAAATAAAGTTTTTGGTACAGGATTTATATGTTAGTTCGGTTATTGTTTTTTACTTTTAAAATTTTTTATGTTTCGGTTCGATTTCGGCTTTATTTTTTAAATAACCTAAATATTCGAACCAACTGAACTATATAAAAACTATTATTTATATTTGTGTGTGTGTGTGTGTATATATATATATATATATATATATATATATATGTATTATGTAATTTAGCAACAAACAATATAAAATATTAAATAATAAGTTTATTTTTATAATATGAATAATAAATTACTTCGCTTATTTTGTTTAATTTGGCTATTCGACTGAATAAATCAATTATTTTGGTTCAATTAGTTTGTTTTGGGACAAAAGTTTGGTCGGTTCAATTTTATTATTACTTTTTTTTTCGAAAGTTTGAATATGTTATTTTGGTTTTTACATTTTGTTAGTCGGTTCGACTGGACCGACCAATCAACAACCCTAAGTTGCACGGTGGTATTTTAGTAAAATAATGAACCAATTGAACTGACCGATGAACAACACTGTAATTTCGTAAAATTATAGCGGGATTTTTTAATATGCATGTTCTCGTGCAATAATATGCATTTTATATACTATTGTACATGTATTGAACTTTTATTAAGTTACAAATTCACCTCACTTACTAAATTGTAATATATTAAAATATCTGTAATCGCAATAGCCGTCTCTCCCTGCCGCCGAATACGTCCGATCCGGTTCCACCAAGGGCAGCTATCGACTTCCCTTCTCAGAGCACCTGCTTTGACCTCGACTTTCCTTCTCCCAGCACAGCGGCGCCGTTCCAGCACACAACGCCCACTTCCACAGATGGTGCAGAAGGTGACCAACATGAAGCTCGAGTTGGGCGGGCGACGGATCTAGACGGTAGTTTGCCGTCTCTCGAGATGTCGGCTTTTCAGCCGTACCCTCCGATGTCGAATTATCTCTGGTGACGGACACAGAGGCATGGCGACGGGATGGTGTTTGCAGGTTGTGGGGCTAGTGGCCGATCATCCTAATTATCTGTGTGTACGTGACGAAGAGTGTGACTTTTGTGTGTGTAATTGTGTGAGAGAGAGGGGTATGGTTGGTATGTTGGGGTGGGATCCACTAGAGTGGGTGGGTTAGTGAAATTTTCGTAAGATGATTAAATTACCCTGACTGAATGGACAAATGCATACATTAGATCGTGATATGTACACTTATTTACGAGATTTTCTGTCCTAACATCTAAAAAAGTTTGACTTGATCATGTTCTTTGGCTTGATAGATGCAATGGAACAAAATAATATCGTTCGCATTTCATCCTAACTATATATATATATATATATATATATATACTAGGAGGCTACGGCTGTGCACAGCACAGCCGGCCCAAGGCAGATAGATATTTGAATTTTACGAAACAACGAAGGCGGCTAATTCTACATAGGCTTGAACATGATATGAGCAAAACATGAACCCATAATATACATACACAAAAGATGTTTGTAGTTGTTGAACAACAAAGATATTAACCAATCCTTTATAAAAGTTCTAAAGCATTTACAAGTATATAGATGGTTGGAATTCTGATAAGGATACTTGGAAGAGACAAAGTGAGCTTGCATGGTACCTACGACACCAACAAGCTACAAGTAATAAAAATTTGGGAAGGCCACGGATGAATAAATAGTTGAATGGATGAAATTAGTTAGCAGTTGATGTGATCGAAAGGAAGCTAACCTGATAGCAACTAACGAAGAACTCATTTTCCCTGTTGGCCAATAGTATTCCAAGAACTTTGAATAGCAGACCCCCAAAATAATATTATTACCTTCATATTTATAAAGAATTAAACCATGGCTAAAACAATAACCATAATAAAGGACTGTGATACAGAAAAAAGGAAATCACTGTAAGGAGAAAACATTCAATATTACACAATAAGCAGACACAAATATCTTATAAACATATTTAATATCACTTTCCTAATGGAACAGGCATAGGTTCATAGTTAATTAACAGACTGTAAGGAGAAAACTCAAATAAATGGCAACAAACAAATAACATGAATTTGCACACTACTCATTGAAATATGATTACAGAAATTAATTATGTAGTCCACCACAGTTGTTGTTGTTGCATCATTAGACCAATGAACATCTTGCAAATCATATTAGGTAACAATCTAATGCTAAATACCTTAATCTGGCTACTAAAAACCCAAGTGACGGGAGCATTTGCAAACTAAGAAAAAAAAAATGTATTAGTCAGCTTCATGCTTGGAAAAAATTAAGATGCATAGTTTCTTTTCCAGCATAAGGTCTTGCATCATCTCCTCCACAGGTTTGCAATGCACTCAAAAACTTGACCAACTTCAACTTATATTATAAAGAAGAAACTTATAGAATCAGCAATGAAAAAGAAAAGAGTGATAATAATAGCATACATGGCAATAGATAGAAAACAACCATAGTTGGTATTATATTAGTTAACGAAATTCAGCACTTACAATTTATTGAGTAACAATATATGCAACTGATCTTCAACATATCATGTAGAGATGTTACAACATACCAAAACAAAACACATTTAAATTCTGAAATCCATCTAGAAAGTTTTTATTTCTTGTTGATTTTACCTCTAGCATCATTAACCCATGCTGCTTGTGCTGCCTTCTTTGTTGCTTTTTCTTGAAGTGTCTTTGCATCCCTATGTAACAACAGAGACACGTGTCATCAAGGCATAACCAAAACCATATCAAAGTCCTTAAAAACAATGTACATCATTACGAGATATACCAAAATTGATAAAATACAACAATGTCCATTAAAAATTGCATGGAGAATAAAATAAGAAACTAACAATTAAATTTCTGAATGATTGCTTCAATAAAGTGAATTAATGAAAGATAAGTGGAGGCGTTAAATAAATATCTGAAAGAAAAAACACATTGTAAGTTAACAATTAATTTGACATAATACATAGATAAATTTAGAGGCAAGAACAAATATTTAGGATGCCATAATGATCCAAACTAAATTAATTCAACAATCAAAAGAATGCCAATCAAACAACACTTTTACATATTCAACCCCAATGCACATAACTATTAATTCCAAAATCTAAAAAGTAGTAACAAACTCAATGAACAACGGAAAGAACCATAGAGAATCATCCATTAAAGAACCAGTTCAATCTATAACCCCATGTTCACTCGAGAACCATACCCAATCCACCCTACTTAACAAGCAAAATCCAGAACAATGAAGAAAAAAAGCACAAAATTTTTAACAATCCAATTCAGGGGAGCCACCATACCATAGCGTACAAGTTGGTGAAACCATTGACAATTGTCGGCGCCTTGGTGAACTTCTGTTGAAAAGCATTGCTAAGGTTGTGCGTGTGGTTGGTGGAGATTATGAGCACCGATTTCCGCACGCGCGCGAGCAGTGTAGACGGTATCGAGCTGTAGGTCCAGTATGTTCCAAACTAAAAAAAAAAAAAAAAAAAAAAAACCAAGAAATTGAGAGCGAAGAAGAGTAAAGAAAAAGATGAAAATAACTTGTAGGGATATCTTCTCGGCCAGCGGTTCGTCGAAGTTTCATCGTCATCCTTGTCGTTCGAACAAGATGTCAGAAGACTCAAGGTTGCAGGGTGGGTCGGTGTCGAGGGTAGATGAGCCTGTGGTTCACGATCTTGGATGTTAGATTGCTTTAGGGTTTTGGAAAACAAGAACTGAGAAACTTCTGGAGAAAAAATGAGGAGGTAAAAGCTTTGCGTGAGATCTGGCAGAACTAAGGCAAAACGACATCGTTTTTTGTTGAGGGCAACGTGGCCTCATAAGAAAAGGAGGGACACGTGTCAACAAAGGAAGGTAGGGCTATCTTTTTATAGATAAGAGAAGAAGATATATATTAGTTTAATGAACATAAAAACAAGTTGTTGAATCATACAAAAACAAATATAAATTAATTTGGGCCTGTAATGTTTACAAGCAGGGCTAAAAGCCCACTCAGAAGTACATATGCGTCAAAGGCTTCCCTTGACTAAATAAACGTGGGAGCAGGGAAGTATATGCAGAATTTCAAAACTCTTGATTTTGCCTCTTCTCACTTTCGAAGTTTATCAATCGATGGCTTCTTCCTTGTCACTCAGCCGTCCAATCGTTCGGAAATTGTTTACCGGATTTCCTAATTATCCATTTGTCGGAAATTTGACGTCTGGATCTTGTTCTTCTGCCCAATATTGTAGCTATATATTTAACTCCTCCTTTTATCCCAAAGGCATAAGAACGTTGGGCGAGCCTATATTATCTCCGCCTTTACCGACACAAAACCCGTCATCTTCGTCATCTCCTTGGCTTATGCTGTCGTCCGCATTTGATGTCGATGCTAGCTGCGCCGCCAGCCGGAGCTACAAGTTCTACTGCCTCTCCGACACCAATATCGTAACCCTAAGTACCGGAAAAAGCAGCAAAGAAAGAGAATTAACGAACCCTGTCTTCTTTACCGGATCTTCTCACGGCTGGGTAGCTTTGTACGACCGCCGTAGCCTGGACTTGTTTCTCTATAACCCAATTACGGGTCGTCATATAATCCTCCCTCCTTTTGAAGGAGTAGATAAGGTCATACTCTCGTGCTCCCCAGATGACGACGAACCAAATTGTCGGGTTATCATGATCTACAACAATCATAGGCTGGCTTTCTGCTGCCCAGGGTTCAGTAAGGAATGGGCCCACATCGGGGTTCACAATGAAGATTCGGTCCAGGCCTTCCGTGAAGGCTACGTGGATTGTATCTACTCCAAAAGACACGAGTCATTGTTTAGTCTCACAAGACACGGCGTGTTGGAATCTTGGGATCTTCTTCGGGACCCTCAGGCCGTGGATGTTAGTTACAAGAGTGGACGTATTGGCTACCCGAGAACAGAGGAAGAGGAGAAGAAGAAGATGATGTGGCTGACTAATGAGCCAATGGAGCATTTGGTAGTGGCCGGGCAAGATCTTCTTGCGGTAACTGGCGGATTCATTTGATGTTGATGGTTTGTATGTGGATGGCAATGACCCGGATGCCCATGCCTTGGAACGAGGACTTCCGAGTGTGACTGTTGATTTTGATGTTGAGAAATATGACCCTGAAGATGGGGAAGTTAAGTATGTTGAAGGTTCGGGTTTGGGTGGTTGGGCTATTTTTGTCGGCTTATACAGCGATGCACAAATAGATTCGTTGATTGAAGGTTGTCGAACTGGTGGCCATGACATTGGCATTTTCAACTACGAGAACAAGACTGTGTCTCCGTGCTATTTTCCGTGTGATGCCAAGAACTTGAGAAAGACTTTCCCAGCCCCTATGTGGTTCTTCCCAAGTCGTGGATGATTTAGTTGGTCTTATGGATTATGCAGGAGATCTCCTGTTTTGATTTAGTAATTTAATGATTAATAATTCTTAAATATATACTAATATATATGGTGTGTCTTTTATATATTTACTAATGATTGAAAATTTGCATAGACTATTAGATGTCTTTTTAGATTTTTTTTTTTTTTAAATAACATATAAAATTGTAAGTGTTTTGTTAAGAAAAAATAGTATACAACAAATTAATGTTGTTGTTGTTGTATAGATAATTTAAAATATATCAAGCATGTTTTTCAAAAATAATATATATTTTACTATTTTTATTTATTCATATTAATGAGGTTAAGAAATTACATAAACTCAACCACAATACTCTTATTTCAAATTAATGTACATTTCTCAATTTTCATGATGATAAGTAATTTTATTTTGAATTAATGTAATTAAAAGAGGTTGTTGGATTTTTTATGTTTAGTAAGTAATTTTGAGTCAATAAATCCAACTATCATGGCAAATAATTAAGATAGCCGATGTTGGTTACAAGAGTAGACATCTTGGCTGCCCGAGGGAAGAGAAAGAGGAGAAGCACTTGTGGCTAACATGCGAGCCAACGGAGCATCTTGTAGTGGTCGGGCAGGAGTACCTGGTTCTATCATTTGATTTTTGACGGATTGTATGTCGATGGCAATGACCCGTATGCCATGGCCTACGAACGAGGACTTCCGGGTGTGACTGTTGATTTGATGTTCATAGATATGACCCTGAGGATAAGGATGTTAAGTACGTTGAAGGTTCGTCTTTGGATGGTTGGGCTCTTTTTGTCGGCCTTTATAGTAATGCAATCGCTTTACCGGCGGCTGAATTCTCGAAGCTTAATCCCAATTCCATTGTTTCACGGATGCGCTAGAAGATTCGTTGATTTAGGATTTCCGAACTGGTGGCCATGACATTGGCATTTTCAATTATGAGAACAAGGTGTTTTTTTTTCCAAAGTTGTGGATGATGTGGTCTTAGGGATTATGCACTCTCCTGACTTGGTTTAGAATGATTAATAATTCTTATATGATTGAAATTTTATTAATTGAACAAACCGAAAGATATCATCAAATGAGTGTTGTTCATTACAATTGAGAAACGCATTGGGCTTTTCCCACAAAAATCAACAACTGGGTTGAGACGACCGTCGACTGCCCAAAGTCGATAAAGATTTTGTACCAAGCGCGGGTCGACAACTCCGTGAATTCAATCCATTGCGTCAGAAAACCTATTTAGTTCGAGCCCGACGCCGATGGGAATCACTCACTTCGTGGTGCCCGTGATTGCTCAAGAAGGCGGCGGAGGACGCGACTCCTTCGCGATCCTGTCGTCATTGAGTGATTATTAATAATTTATGAGATTTGAGTTGATTAGCATCTATTCTTGTGATCCCTGCCGAATTCATATGCAGTGATGGACGGTGGAGGCCTACCGGCAGACATTTGCATTCAGTAGTTGTTACTTTAATTCACTAAAAAGTGAAATCCATTCTACTGTGGCTGTGTTTGGTAAGCCAAATAAGCTAGTTTAGCTTATTTGATTAGCTTATAAGCTTCCTGTATTCAAAAAAGCCTCGTTTGGTAAGGCGAGCTTTTTTAAAAGCTCGAGCTTATTTGATAAGCTTCTTTAGGTAGCTTTTCAAATAAGCTAGTTGAATTTTTTATTCCAGCTAGCTTATCAGCTAATTTTACCAAACACTTTTATCATATAGCTAGCTTTTCAGCTATAAATCATAAAGTATAAGCTATAAGCTAAAAAATTATTGATAAGCTATAAGCTAGCTTATCAGCTAGTCTTACCAAACATAGCCTGTATCATTCTGTCTTGTGTGATGTGTAAGCACACGTGTGAAGAAGAGGATGACTTGTGTGGAGAGAGAGAGATGGGTCATGGTTGGTGTATTGGAGTGAGATCCACGTGGGTTAGTGGACTTTTGTGAAAATATGAATTTTATTAGTTAATTATAATAAAAACGTTGTGAATCATACAAAAACAAAACTGATAAATTGGGCCTAGAATGTTCACAAGCAACGCTAAAAGCCCACTCAGAAGTAGATAGATATGCGTAAAATGCTTCACTAAAGGATACATAAACGTGGGAGCAGCGGACTATCTGCAGAAACAGAGACCAGCTAGATTGTGCCTCATCTCACTTTCGAAGTTTATCTATCGATGGCTTCTTCCTTGTCACTCAGCCCATCCTTCTCACTCACCCGTCCAGTCGATCGGAAATGGTTTGCCGGATTTCATAATTATCCGTTCGTCGGGAAATTGACGTCTGGATCTTGTTCTTCTGCCCAATATTGTAGCTATAGATTTAACTCCTCCTTTTATCCCAAAAGCATAAGTACGTTGACCGAGCCTATATTATCTTCACCTTTACCGACACAAAACCCATCATCCGCCTCATCTCCTTGGCTTATGCTGCCGCCCGCATTTGACGTCGACGTTAACGGCGCCGCCAGCAGGAGCTACAAATTCTACAGCCTCGCCGACAACAAAATCGTAACCCTAATTACCGGAAAAAACAGCACAGAAGAATTAACTAAGCCTCTCATGTGCTTTAGGGGATCTTCACACGGCTGGGTAGTTTTGTACGACCGCCGTAGCCTGGAATTGTTTCTTTATAACCCAATTACCCGTCGCCATATAATCCTCCCTCCTTTTGAAGGAGTAGATAAAGTCATACTCTCGTGCTCCCCAGATGAAAATGGACCAAATTGTCGGGCCATCATGATATACAACAATTGTGGGCTGGCTTTATGCTGCCCAGGGTTCAGCAAGGAGTGGACCCACATCGGACATCACCATGAAGATTCGAGCCGAGACTTTTCTGAATGCTACGTGGATTGTGTCTACTCGACAAGAGACGAAGCATTGTTTAGCCTCACGAATAACTTCGGGAAAAACGGCATGTTGGAATCTTGGGATCTTCGGGACATTCAGCCGCCGAGGGCTGTAAAGATAGCCGAGCTTAGTTGGAAACACGGACGTCTCGGCCTCCCGAGGAGGACAAAGAGAGAGGAGAAGAAGAAGAAGATGATGTGGTTGTCGAATGAGCCAAAGGAGCATTTGGTAGTGGCCGGGGAGGATCTTCTTGTGGTGACTCAGCACGTGGTTTTTGCATTTGATTTTGATGGATTGTATGTCGATGTCTTGGCCTACGAACGAGGACTTCCGGGTGTAACTATTGATTTTGATGTTCATAAATATGACCCTGAGGATGGGGAACTTAAGTATGTGGAAGGTTCGTGTTTGGGTGGTTGGGCTCTTTTTGTCGGCTTGTCCAGCGATGCAGTCGCGTTGCGGGCGGCTGATTTCCCGGAGCTCAAGCCAAATTCGATTTACTTCACGGATGCACTAGAAGATGCAGTGATTGAAGATGACAATTTCCCAACGGGTGGCCATGACATTGGCATTTTCAATTATGAGAAGAAGACTGTGTCGCCATGCTATTATCCATGTGATACCAACAACATGAGAAAGACTTTCCCAGCGCCTATGTGGTTCTTCCCAAGTCGTGAAGGATGTCATACTGATTAATGTTCCTTTCATTTATTTATTTTTTAATTAATTATGCTTTAATGTTTCTGTATTAATTGGTGTCTGGTCGTTCTTTTTCAGTACCATTGGCATTTCTATAGATGTTTTATTTGAGAATTTTATATGGTTTAATGCATGTTGTGGGAATGGCTAGCGGATGATAAGCAAAAAGATATTTTTTTTTTTCAGTCTACGGTTTCTATGAAAATTCACAATTTATTTGATAAATATATATTGGATTGAAAAGCTTATTACTACCTCGTATTTACAAAAAAAAAGATACAATATGAGTTTTCTACCGTAGGTTTAGCCTCTCAAATCGTAGTTTTCACCATTTTAACAAAGGAAAAAATCTCCAAGGAATTTCAGGCATGACCATTTGAACAATTGCGGTCGAACGATTAGGAAGTAGGAACTTACCTCTTTAGAGCTTTGTCCGTCACACCAATTCGCGGTGCCTGGCCGAGTGTTTGCGGCTGCCGATAGGAGGTAGACGGTGGCCTGAGCGCTGGAGTAGTAGTGGAACTGCCCTTCACTTTTTCCTTTCTTTTACCGAAACCATAATTAATATAAAAATAACTTAAAAATCAGTACAAGGAAGTCGGGACTAACATCCCTTGGAACAACAACTAAAACCAAAATACCCATTAAACATGACAAAACACTCCAAAAATGATTAAATACAGACACAACAGGTACTAACAAAACAAAACACTTTAAGAGCACCTCTAATCGTATGTGAATTGTGGAATTGTAGAAGCATTTGATAAAAGAACTTCTCCAACAACGATTTTTCCACTTCTATCTGTGATTATATGGCATGAAAGAGAAACAATAATTCTAGAAGTCTACATGTAGAAGTCTTTCTAGACTTATGAATCATTTTTTCACCTTATTTATAATATAAAATAAATGGATAACATGAAGATAGAATAAACCATTGGAAATGTTTTATGGGGTTGAACCTCTATTTGTTCCACGTGGATGGAAGACCATCTATTTCATTGCCACATATACTACAATTCATGTACACAATTCATGTACACGGTTGGAGATGCTCTAATACAACACACACCTAAAAATACAATAAAACCTCCCTTCTTTCTCACGAGCTACATACAGCTGATATCGCCACACTTTCACCAACACACGAGCCAATCTCCACAATCGAAACCTAAAAGAGATTACAAATCTTAAGACCCAGATCTAAAAAGCTCCTGTCAGATCTCAAACGGCTAGTTACATCTGGCGAGGAATACTCGAGCTCATATCTGACCTCCAAAAGCTTCCCGCTGGGGAAACCGACCCAAATAGCCTCGACGGAAGAGCCGCCAACTCTAGCTCCAACCTAAGGCCCGGAAAGGAGAGGGCGGCGCGGAGGGACTTACCGTCGACGAACTCAATCAATAACCAAAGAGAAGGCGCCGCTGTCAGACCCAGCCCGAGGCTGGAGGAGCGAGCAAGTCGCAAGCGGCGAGACGGTCACACGGAGGAGGGGTGGGGGGCGGAATAAGCTTTTTTCTTTTGCTGAGAAGAGCTTCGGTTTTGATTTTTGACTTTTGAGAGACGGAAAAAAGTTCTGGATGAGAGAGCATCATGCTTTGGTCTCTTTTTGTATATGTGGCATATATGTGATAAACTCAATAAAAAAACTTTGTAATGCAAAAATAAAAATATTAGGTCTAGCATATATGTCAACCAATAAAAACGATCTAATATGTTTTCTATAGTAAAAAATAAATTAAATTAGAAATAAATGATGAGTGTTTGAGTTTGTACTTGGGTCCAAAATAGACCCAAGTGTGGACTTAGTCTCTTTTCTTTATTGTCACATAAGCTAGACCATGTCTACTTTTAATTGCATTGAGAAAATTTTTTTTATAGACTAAGTCTATTTTTTACATAACATGTGATTTTTTGTTAAGAGACCCAAAGCATTGTGGATGCTCTGAATGTTAGATGTTGGAGTGGGCCCACCCCTCACTTTCTTCTTATTATTATTTTGCTTTTGCTTGTTTTGTCCCCTCTGAAGTGAAAACTCGATTGGGCCTGGAATGTTCACAAGCAGGGCTAAAATCGGGGTCAAATGCTTCAGGAAAGCATACAGAAAATAAACGTTTGGAGCAGCTGAGCGAACCATCGGGAGAAACAGAGACACAGCTTGATTGTGCCTCTTTTGACTTTGGCACTTTAGCTATCGATGGCTTCTTGCTTCTCACTCAGCCCATCCTTGTCACTCAGCCGTCCAATTGATCGGAAATGGTTTGCCGGGATTTCCAATTATCCGATTGTCAGAAAACTGATGGATGGATCTTGTTCTTCTGCCCAATATTATAGGTTTAGGTTTAACTCCTCGTTTTATTCGAAAGGCATGAAAACGTTGGCCGAGCCTGTGTTATCGCCGCCTTTACCGACACAAAACCCATCATCCTCGCCATCTCCTTGGCTTATGCTGCCGCCCGCCTTTGACGTCGACGGTAGCGGCGCCACCACCAGGAGCTACAAATTCTACACCCTCGCCGACAACAAAATCGTAACCCTAACCACTGGAAAAAGCAGCAAAGAAAGAGAAGAAGTACCATGGTCTCCCATGTGGTTTAGGGGATCTTCACACGGCTGGCTCGCTTCATTCTGCCCCCGAAGCTGCCGTCTGTTTCTCTATAATCCCATCTCCCGTCGACATATAAACCTCCCTTCCCTTGCCGACCTTCCCAGTTTCCCACCCACCGATTTCCCTACCGCATACAAGGTCATCCTCACGTGCTCCCCTGACGACGACGGACCAAATTGCCGGGCCGTGATGATTTATAATAACAATCACGGGCTAGCTTTCTGCTGCCCTGGGTTCAGCAATGAGTGGACCCGAATCGGAGATCACCACTGGTTTGATGAAAAAAAGGGAAAGTCCTTTGCAATGGGGTACATTGATTGTGTCTACTCGACAAGACACAAAGCATTGTTTAGCCTCGCATCAAACGGCGTGTTGGATTCTTGGGATCTTCGGGACCCTCAGTCACCGAGGGTTGTAAGGATAGCCGATGTTAGTGAGACGAGAGTATGTCTTGGCTACCCGAGGACAAAGAAAGAGAAGAAGATGCGGCTGACGAAAGGTTCACTGGAGCATCTGGTAGTGGCTGGGAAGGATCTTCTTGTGGTGACTCAACACGTGGGTGATGCATTTGAATTTGATGGATTGTATTTCGATGCCAATGACCCGGATCAGGATGAGGATGACTTCTATCGAGGACTTCTCCCTGTGACTGTTGATTTTGATGTTTATAGATATGAGCCTGAGGATGGGGAACTTAAGTATGTGACGTCTTTGGGTGGTTGGGCCATTTTTGTCGGCTTCAGCAGCGATGCAGTCGCGTTGCGGGCGGCCGAGTTCCCGGAGCTCAACCCCAATTCGATTTACTTCACGGATGGAATGGAAGATGTGCTGATTGACAATTACCCAACTGGTGGCCATGACATTGGCGTTTTCAATTATGAGAACAAGACTGTGTCGCCGTACTATTATCCATGTGATACCAACAACATGAGAAAGACTTTCCCAGCGCCTATGTGGTTCTTCCCAAGTCAGTGAATATAGGAGGTTGGAAAAAAGAAAAAAAGAACTTTCATGTTTCCGTGTGTTAAATTAATTGGTGTTGGGTGGTTCCTTTTTTGGGTGTTTTATATGAGGTTGTTGATGATTTTCGCTTTAGTATCTTACATTGATTTTATGTTGGACTCAACAGGATGTGATTGTTTGACGTGTGAAATCAACTACCCAAATTATAATAAATGTAACGCGTGGTTAAGGCAAACGAGACTTAATATATGAAATCAACAATATATGAGAGAATTATAATATGTGATTTTACGTGGAAGGCTGAAATAATAAATTTACATCGGTTGAACTTGAGAGCCATAATACTAAGTGCATCAGCACTAGAACGCCCGAAGGTCATGATATTGTTCTCCATGCAGATCTCACTCTAGACCACATGCCCTTCAAACCAATGTCACTGTGACATATAGATGGCCATATATACTCTGCACCATATGCTTCCTTCATATCGATCTCGATATTCATTCTGAAAAGAGATTGTCGTCCAAAATCAATTCGCACCGTTTTGAACCTATTTGCGCCGCACAATATGTACGAGCTCACCGACCACAAACGCGGTTACTTAGACAGGGGTCCCGCCACATGTTGCTATGCATGTGATGGACCCTTCAGAAATCCACCGCTTGTCCCATAACTCATTAGTGAGTCGAGACGAGTTTTTCACCTTATGTATAAATGCCCCGGATTGAGATCAATTGAAAAACCACCTGAAAAACCCTATAAGAAAATTCATTGTAAAAGAGATCAAAAGATGATTTAAATCACATAATTAGTCGACAATTGTATTTTTTATTTTTTTTTCACTCTTATTCCATCTATTGCTAATATCCGGCCCCTCTTTTATTCCTTTCGATTTCATACATTAACCTTCATTTAACATATTACTACTATGTAATCTTGGTGAAAACCATCATTAACATATGCCAATAAGAAGAACAGTCATTCCCACAACATGCATTAAATTAACCCATACAAAAATCTCAAATAAAACATCAATAGAAATGCCAATACCAAGAAAAGAATGACCTGACACCATCTAACACACAAACATGAACAGCATAATTTTTTTTATCAAAAAAAAAAAAAAAAACCATTAATCACTATATAGCATCATTCACGACTTGAGAAGAACCACATAGGCGCTGGAAAAGTCTTTCTCAGGTTCTTAGCATCACATGGAAAATAGCACGGCGACACAGTCTTGTTCTCGTAATCGAAAATGCCAATGTCATGGCCACCAGTTGGGCAATCGTCAATCAGCGCATCTAACATTGCATCCGTGAAGTAAATGGAATTGGGTTTGAGCTCCGGGAACTCGGCCGCCCGCAACGCGACTGCGTCGCTGTAGAAGCCGACAAAAATAGCCCAACCACCCAAACACGAACCTTCCACATACTTAAGTCCCCCATCTTCAGGGTCATATATATGCACATCAAAATCAACAGTCACATCCGGAAGTCCTCGTTCGTAGGCAAAGCCATACGGTTCATTGCCACTGCTATGGACATACACTCCATCGAAATCAAATGATTGAACAACATGCTGAGTCACCACAAGAAGATCCTCCCCGGCCACTACCAAATGCTCCATTGGCTCATTTGTCATCCACAACTTCTTCTTCTCATCTTTCTTTGTCCTCCTCGGGAGGCCCAGACGTCCGCCCTTCCAACTAACCTCGGCTATCTTCACAGCCCTCGGCGACTCAATGTCCCCAAGATCCCAAGATTCCAACACCCCGTTTTTCCCGATGTTATTCGTGAGGCTAAACAATGCTTCGTGTCTATTGGAGAACACACAGTCTATGTAGCCTGTGCAGAAGGCCTCTCCCTTTTCTTCATCAAACCAGTGGTGATCTCCGATTCGGGTCCACTCATTGCTCAACCCTGGGCAGCAGAAAGGCAGCGCTTGTACGTTGTTGTAGATCATGATAGCACGACAATTTGGTGCATCGTGGTCCGGGGAGCACGAGAGTATTACCTTGTATACTCCATTCTCGTTTGGAGGGTAATCGGGAAAGTGACGAAAGGGAGGGAGGTTTATATGACGACGGGTAATTGGGTTATAGAGAAACACGTCCTCGCTACGGCGGTCGTACAAAGCTACCCAGCCGTGTGAAGATCCCCTAAAATGCATCAGAGGGTTCGTTAATTCTCTTTCTTCGCTGCTTTTTGCGGTGCTTAGGGTTACGATTTTGTTTTCGGCGAGGCTGTAGAATTTGTAGCTCCTGGTGGCGGCGCCAGTAGCGTCGACGTCAAAGGCGGGCGGCAGCATAAGCCAAGGAGATGACGAGGATGATGGGTTCTGTGTCGGTAAAGGCCGCGATAACATAGGTTCGGCCAACGTTCTCATGCCTTTAGGATAAAAGGAGGAGTTCAATCGATACATACAAAATTGGGCGGAAGAACAAGATCCAGGCGTCAATTTCCCGACAGACGGATGATTATGAAATCCGGCGAACCATTTCCGATCGATTGGACGGGTAAGTGAGAAGGATGAAGCCATCGAGAGAGAAACTTTGGGAAGTCAAAAGTGTTTTGTTTAGTCTAAAAACTTTATCTACTGTGAGTCAACGTTTCAACTGCTCCTACATGTAACTTATATTTAATTATTTATATATATATATATGCTTTAATTGAATTATCATTTATATTAACATTCAATTACTTATTTAAAATATTTTAGAATGTTTGGAATGTAATTAAATAATCGTTACTTATTTAGAAAAACAGTTTATAATGTTTGGAGTTTAAATGTATAATAAACTATTAAAAATCAAATTACATAGTTAAAAGATAATTTAAAGCACGTAGAATATATAGAATAATTAACTCACCTTATTCGTGTAAGTAATCAATCATCAGTATTTTGTACAAGAGAGAGAAAAAAAACAAAAAAAAGGAATAAGTAAGGGGGTGATCGTTTATGAAATAATTTGTTCAAAATAAATTATTTTGGTTAACCATAATTAATTTTGAAGGTGATATGGTTAATTGTTAGTGGAATTTTAAGAATGTATTATAATAATATTTAAAATAAAATGATTAAAATTGATTTGATGTAAAAGTAGGAGATATGGAAATGATTGGTAGTTAAAATTATTTGAGTGGATGAATAGTAAATTGAAGTTGATGTAATGTGTAAGAATGATTGGTTTGTATTATTTAATTATATGAATAATATTAAAGATAATAGAGTTGAATTAAAGTTGAGTTAGATTTTGAGTATGAAATAAATGGGAATGAAATAATTCATAAATAATAAACATCTTTGGAATCCATACCTCAATATATTGTTTTTTTCTATTTCGTTCTTTTTCTTTATGGCCCCTTCTCCACTTATCTCCACAAATCGAGATAATTGTGAATTTGGTCCCAAAACTTTTGCTGTTTCCCACATTTGGTCCCAGGCAGTGCAAATTTGGTCCTTTTAGATTTTTCGTTGCGAATTTGGTACTAAACCGTCTGGATTTAACAGTCTTCTTAGTCAACCACGTTAGTCGTTATTTTTAATTTGTTATCTGTTAGAAAATCGAACCGTCACTCTCAAAACACAAAATCGAAAACTCTCTCTCTCTGTGGCGAAAATTAGGGCAGAGATTTCCATCCAAATTCATCACAAAAATCGACATGAACCCAGATAAAACTGAAATTAGACGCCGGCAGTGCAACATGCTTCGCTCAGAGGATGCAGCGTGTTCTTCAAACCCGAAATACGGTAACATTCATTTTCGTGATTCTTCTTTCACTCTCATGGCTTTTTTTTTTCAATTTTGTTAACATTCGGCATTTGTTATGTTAGTTTTGTATGTTATTTAGGGTTTTTGTTTTGTATATATAGTAGATGATGGAATTTGATAATTTAGGGCTTTAGGGTTTATTTTATTTGACAATTTAGGGCTTTAGGGTTTATTTATCATATAAATTAGGGCTTTTGTGTTTATTCTTTACAATGTAATTGGTAATGTTGGGATTAATGTATGTGGTCCGCTAATGGCTGATGAGTGATGAGTGGTGGTCCATTTGGATTAATGTATGTGGTCTGGGACTAATGTTTGTGATGACTGAGAGTGGTGGTCCATGAATTTGTCATGTTCCTTTTCAAGTAGACAATTTCAGTGGTGGTCCATGAACGTTATTGTTATGTTGTTTATTTTTACAAGATGGTGGTCATTTGTATCAAATTTTTTATTTGTTTCATGTTATTGAATTGCAGGTGGCAAAGACCCTTATTTCCTTACCTTGAAAATACACCATGATGGGGTTATAATGGATGATATAACTCCAGGACATCAGAGGTATGTGGGAGGAGAGATTAGTGCCTTTGATTATGTGGACAAAAGTAAGGTTAACATGGGTGACTTGGGTAGATTCTGTGAGGAGTTGGGTTATGGTGGAGTCAAAAAGTTTTACAGGTTTGACTCCTTCGAAAAGTTTAGGGAGATAACCATGGAAACAGATTTGTTATTGGCTATTGATAGGCATAAGAAGAGAGAAGTCCATATATAGTTAGTTGCTGAGAAAACAGGAAATATGCGTGTAGGTGATGGGGGTGTTTCTGTAGGTGATGGAGGTGTTGTTGTAGGTGATGGGGGTGTTCCTGTAGGTGATGGTGAAAGGAGTGTGCCTGTAGGTGATGGAGATATGAGTGTGCTTGAGGATGAGGGTGACCAATCTGTGGATGAGGACTTTTGTGCAAGTAGGGACACTGACAGTGGTTTTGATGATATCCTTTTTGAAGAATATGTTGAGGCAGAAGAGTGTGTGGAGGGGCCTAAACAGAAAGAGAACCAACATGAGGTTGATGATGAAATGTCCACTGACAGTTCCAGTTCCAAGTGCACAGAGGATAGCAGTCATGATGATTTCTCTAGTTGCAGTGACTCAGATGAACAAAATGGGGAAAATGAAGAAACTGAGAGCAATGTCTTCAATGAGAGGCATATTAACAATCCAAAGTTTGAACTTGGCCAGAAGTTTCCCTCCAAGAAGATGTTTAAGCAAGCCATTGCTAACCATGGAGTGCTAACCCACAGAAGCTTGAAGTTTACCAAAAATGATAAAAGAAGAGTTTTTGTTAGGTGTTATGAAGAGGCAAATGGGTGTCCCTGGGCAATTAATGCCATTAAAGTGACCAATGAAGAAGCCTACATGATAAGATCTTACAATTACAAGCACTCTTGTGCAAGATCTTGGAAAGTGAAGAATTTGACATCAAGATGGATTGCAGACAAATATGAAGAAGCATTCAGAAGTGACCCTCAAAGATCACTCAGGGGTTTCAGGACAGATGCAATTGGTGATCTAAGGTGCCATGTATCCAAGAACAAGGCATTCAGAGCCAAGCAGTTTGCTTTGAAGGCAATTGAGGGTGACCATGCAGACCAATATGCCAAAATGTGGGATTATGCTGAAACATTGAGAGAGAAAAATCCTGGAAGCACCATCATGTTGACACTTACAGATGCCCCTGGTCCTGATGGAGAGAAAAAGTTTGAAAAAATCTACATTTGCTTAGCCCCATTGAAGGCTGGATTTATTTCTAGATGTAGAAAGTTAATTAGGGTTGATGGTTGCCATTTGAAGAGTAGGCATGGTGGAATTCTGCTCACAGCTGTTAGGGTAGATCCTTCTAACAATCCATATCCTGTGGCATATGCAGTTGTTGGGGGAAAAACAAAAGATTCTTGGTCCTGGTTTCTGAGGAATCTGAAGTCTGATTTGGATATTGTTAATGAGGAGGAGTGGACCTTTATATCTGACAAACAGAAGGGCCTAATTCCTGCATTTGAAGATGTGTTTCCCAGGTCTCATAACAGATTTTGTGTGAGACATTTACATGTCAACATGCAGACAGCTGGGTTCAGAGGACTTGCATTTAAGAAGGCTTTATGGAGAGCAGCCAAAGCAACAACAGTTCCTGATTTTAAAGAGCCAATGAAAAGGGTGTTAGAGTAGGGTACCCAGCGTTCCAATCCAATTGGACGTATTCTACTTGTAAATACAGTCTATTGGAATTATATTATTAATAAGGCATTTCTTTATCTTAAGAGAAAAGCATTTATCTTATAAATACACTTAAGATAAAATCCCTAGATCACTTATGGTTATAAGGTATGGTTGCGCATAGAGATGGTGATCATGGAACATACCTTGAAAGCCGTGATCTTAAATACAGTTCCAAGTCGATGGATGTTTCGAGATGGGATATCGAATAATCCATAAAAGACTTGCACATAGTTTGTACGCTTGTTGGACAAAAATGTTGCATTCCATCAACATTAGCGTGTGACGCAAATACATTTATGTGGGTGCTTGTTAGAGAACAAGTTCACTGAACATGACCGTATGAAAATTCTTAATGAAGAATTATTTTAGTTAATAATCTGTCGAATAAGAATTTTCATGTTACAATAGTACATGACTAATCCTAAGACTTGAGGCACAATGGTAACTTTGTGCATATTACATTCTACTTTGATTTATCCTTATGGTAGCTAGCACTATCGTATAAAGGGATATTTTGGGTATTATGTTAATATGTATGGAAGTTTGTTAGTGGCCAATAAAGGATTCGACACTTATGAAGATAAGTGAATTTCCTATGTGTTTCATAGTTATTAATCCAAAGTCCTTGGCCAAGGCAGAGATGAATAGTGATTCATAACCGGGTTAATAAACTTGAAATAGAATCATAGTTATTAAGTCAATTTGGGTTTCGACAAAATCATACCCAAGACTTAATCGGGAAATTAGATGTCGAAAGGATTTTACATGTATGGAGTTGTAATTGGAATAGGTTTACTCGCTATTCACTTAATACTAGATTCATGCTACTTGCTAGGTGTTACCATGATATGTGGGTTCATAAATTAAAGGGTTAATTCATGAATAAGAGTTAATAAGATTTAACTCAAATTACAAAGTGTTGTAAACCCACTACTAGTATTAAGGTGAACCTAAAAGGTCACACTAATTATGAACAAAGGTAAAAATTGTATTTCTAATGGTTAGAATTAATTGACTTAATATCTAATTTGATTAGATGTCAATTAAAGGAAAATATTAATCAATAAGATTGATTAATTACATTTTTGGATATTACTTTAGTAATTAAGGTAATTACTAAATTGATAAAGTTGAATTTTAAAATAGGATTTTAAATTTCAAAATCCAAAATAATAATAATATGATTATTATAATATGGATAAAAATTGGGAAAATGATATAATAATAAAGTCTTGAGAAAGATTCTCAAGATTTATTATTCAATTATTATTTATATCTTTAAATATGATTTAAGGATTAAAATAATAAATATGAATATAATAGATGGTGGGTAATGGTGGTTATGAACAACCAAACATATCTTATTATTTTCAAAGTCAAAAGTTAGTAATTGTATTTAAATAAAATTAGATTTTATTTAAATATTACTAAATGTTGATTATTTTATGCTAAAATGTTTAGTATAAATAGATGCAAAATGTTTGCAAATAAAGTAAGTGATTTTGAGAGAAAAATCAAAGAGAGAAGAAAGTGTTCTTCATATATTTCAAGAAAGTGTTCTTGGAAATTCCCAAATTATATCTATATATATATATATTCCTATACAAGAAAACCGAGACATTCCTACTAGCGAAGGAAGGTAGTCGGAACCGGGCTTCATAGGGTGGGTACGTTTAGAGGGAAGACACTTGGATTCCTAAAGTGAGTAACCTCAAGCCGTTGAAGTTACAACCGGGAACCGATTCCCACAATCCACATCTTTGTTGAAGGAGTTCAAGACATATGGTAAATATTTTATACTGGTATTTACTTTATAGTAACAAATCAAAATTTGTATATGATGCATGTTTTAAAGATGACGATTAGTTAATTCGCAATTAGTATGTACGGGTGTTGTATTTATACGATAAATACTTACTTTAAAAATTTTAAATTCCGCTGCGTACAGCCCGTATGGTACTAGCGAACCCAACAAAGGGTTGGAGAAATTGACCCAAAATGCAAGGAATGGCTTGAAGAAAAACCTGCACAACAGTGGTCAAAATCCCACTTCACCACATGTGTTAAATCAGACATGTTGTTGAATAACATATGTGAGGTCTTCAATAGTTGTATTGTAGAGGCCAGACAGAAACCAAACCTAACCATGCTGGAATGGGTGAGGCAGTACTTGATGAGTAGGCTGCAAGAGAATAGGGACATGGCTGAGAGAAAGTGGGAGGTAAGAAGATATGTCCTAAGATCAGAAAAATTGTAGATAGTCATGAAAGCAAGTCATGTGATTGTATACCAACCAAATCCACTGATTGGGTTTACCAGCTGGATTGTAGTAGTGGTGATAGACACATTGTGAACTTGAAGGACAGAACATGTAGCTGCAGGAAATGGGATTTAACTGGAATTCCATGCAAGCATGTATGCAGTGCATTATTGGCACAAGGGCATCAACCAGTGGACTTTGTGGATGAATGTTATTCATGTGAAACCTATGCCAAAGTGTATGAAGTAGCCATTAATCCAATATCTGGACCTAATCTGTGGGATAGGACAGGATACATTCCTCCATTACCTCCAAATTTTGGAAAAAGAAAAAGGGGTAGGCCTGTGAGGGAAAGAAGGATGGGAGCAGGTGAAGATAAGGGTGGTGGTAAAAAAATCAAATATAGACAGAAAATTCAGAATCAAAGGGGACAGATGACTTGTAAGTTTTGCCATCAAAAGGGGCATAATAAAAGAACCTGTGAATGGAAGAAGCTGGCTGAAAGTGGACTTCAAGAAGGTGCCTTTGACATGGAAGCTGAAGCTGAAGCTGAGGAGTTGACTCAAGGAGATGAGTTCCCACCTGCAAGTCAGCCTCAATCCCAGCCTCAATCCCAAATGAGTGTGAGTTACTTATGTCTTGTTCTATTTTAATGTTTATGTATTCCTTTTATATTGTTTCTTTTATGAAATCAAAGGTTGCTTGGTTTTTTTTTTATTATATAGGCAACAACATCAAAGGGAGCAAGAAAAGGCACTAAAGAGGCTGCTTCTTCAAGTAATCTAATGCCATAAGTCCTCTATGCATTTTCTCCATTATCTGCAGTGTCTTGTTTGTTGAAGTAATATATTTTGGTTATGTTTTGTGAATATTTTTGGAACTTGGAACTTGGGTGTGCTGTGAACAATGCATGTAGCATATGTTGGTGGCTTCTTTTGATCTTTTGGCTTCTTTTGAACTTGGGTATGATGAAGTGGTGAATTGGTATGAATTGGTATGAACAATGGTTGTTGAATTGAATGGGCAGTGGTGGTTGTTTTTGGATTTGATATGAGCAATTGTGTTTGCTGCTTTATTTGTTTTCATTTGTGTTTGCAATGGTGCTGCTTTATTTGTTTTATTTGTTTTCATTTGTGTACAATGTGTATGTACACTTGTTGGTGCTGCTTTAAGAACAATCGATGGTGCTGTTTTTTTTTTCTTTGGTCCAATTCTGTGGGTTTGTTAGGAAAAATAAAATTGAATGAAATAAGGCTGTTGGCAAATTAGAAGCATTAGTTAGTATAGAGCAATATGTTGCTTGTTGTTTACATAGCAAATCAGAAACAGAGCATACATTAGGGCAAATCAGACACATAGCATACATTAGGGCAAATCAGATAAAGAGCATACATTGGGGCAGAGCATACATTAGGGCAAATCAGAAACAACATACATTAGGGCAAATACCATACATCTGCTCATTTTTAAAATATCAACACCAACCATGTGATTACAACTAGTAGCACTAAAATGTTGTTCTTCTTCTTGAGTTGACTATTTTCTTTTTCCAGCTTCTTCACCTTCTTCATTTTTTTCTCATTTGCTTCAAGAGTAGTTGCACTCTCATGCTGCCGGTTGGTTTCATCTTCTAGGCGATTTATTTTAGTCAACAAACCAGGTATTATCTCCTTTGATCTTGCACACATCGGAGGATCAAACTACTTCCAAAATGTGCAAGCTTTCTCCTCGCAATGCAGGTACCTCCTTCCGGGATTGGCTAACGTCCATGAAGTTGTCATTCGAGCATACTTACCGCAAAGACAAAGAACTCGGGTTTCTCGCATCGACGAACTTGAAGAACTCATCTTTCTTTTTTTTTTTTGGTGGAAAATGGTTGGAGATGATGAATTCATCTTCCTATTGATTATCTTATTTATAAGGGGGTAATCTTCACAGTTTTCCCGCCATTTGAGTATGAAGCGGCTAATTTTCCCTCCTTTTAGACCAAACAGACTTTGACTAACGTGGTTGACTAAGAAGACTGTTAAGTCCAGACGGTTTGGTACCAAATTCGCAACGAAAAATCTAAAAGGACCAAATTTGCACTGCCTGGGACCAAATGTGGGAAACAGTAAAAGTTTTGGGACCAAATTTGCAATTATCTCCCACAAATCAAATTTTCACTAGTACAATAACCGTGTACTATACGGATGTTGAGTTAAAAAATATATTTTAAAAGCTATTGTTAAATTATTTTATTTAAAACTTTTGATGGATTAATTAATATATATATATAAAAAAAAGAGAGAGAAATAGACAGTGCAAAATGTTGTTGGGAATATACTGGATATGTTGTTGTTGTAGACAGTGCAGAATGTGATTTGTAAATTGTAATCTAGGAGAAAAATATGAGAAAAAATTATAAGATGGTAAGATTTTTACTTGCCCAAATTAAGAAGAAAATTTGTACTAAGAGAAAACAAAATAACAAAATTTACACTTACAAAGTTTGAAAAAAAAAATAATTTATGTCTATACCAAATCTAATTCCAGAGCAAAAAATTAATATACAAACAATATTCCAAAACATAGTTTTTCGCCGTGTCAGAATCTGAAACGTGTGACCCTGCCATTTAAGCTCTTACATACCTATCACCCTTGAGATCTGACATGAAATTCCTCAAGTATTGCTTGTAGCTAGAATAACTTGGACATGGCGTTTTTTTTTTTTTTTTAAATTATTTTATTTTGGGAAGAAAATGAGATTCTAGAGAAAGAAAGAAATTTTCCCATGGATAATAAGGTACTTAGTTGAATTCTCCCAATTAGCTAGCCAGTGACCTCCCCTGAAGATTTATGATTGAAGACAAAATAAAATATGAGCAAAGAAAAAATGCAGCAGAATTAGGGTACTCAAGAAATAAATTTACTTGGAAGTAGTTTTTATTATCTTTATCGCCTATTTAAGTCAACTTAAGTTTATAGGACAACACGTGTACATATCCGACGAACACACGATTTCCGGCCTAAAAAGGACCCAAATTGCAACTAAATTCTAAATTAAGGGATTAAATAATGACAAGTTAATATTGTGAGATTAAAAATGCTACGTTCAAATTCTTCAGTACTAAAATTGTAATTTAGTCCAAAAATATTCTTCATTCATTTTCATTATCTTAAATTAATTTTAATATAAAGATATATATATATATATTTTTAGAGTTATTATTATTATGTAATTAACAAAAATAAAATTACATATGATATTGTTTATATTTATTTACTAAAACATTGACAAAACGTTTTCTAAAATATTAACCAAGATTGAAGGAAAAATTTAATCTAAATGTGATAATCTTCATTAAGAAAAATAGAATAATTTATATATATAGTGAACAAGTATTAGAGTATATAATTGACAAGGTAGGTTGGAAATATTAAATTATTTAAGATAGATTGGAGATGCTAAAATTTATTGAAATAAATTATAAATATACTATCAAATTTTTTACTTTCGTTAGGAGCAAATTACTCATAAAATATAATGGCTAAATTTGGTAATGGCTGCCCGCATTGCGCAGCCTACCAATTGAGAAAATTTGGATAACCATTCTAGGCTACAAAAAAACATGAGATTGAAAATTTGCGTGAAGAAAAGTGTATAAGATTGAAAATGAAGAAGAATATTTTGTGAATATGCAATCATGTTTATTTGTGCACGTTTAGTTTTTGGTTTTCTTAATTGCATCAGTATACATATATTTTTTTTCATTTTCTTAAAAAAATAAATAAAAAAATAATTTTTTGTGCATGGAATTTATATTAGTTATATAACGAAATATATTAATCAACATTAAAGTTAATTAAGAATGTATTTAAATTTGCATAATCTTGTATATTAATTAATATATTTTGTATAATATATTTTATGTATTATGTATGATATAAAAATAAATAAATTTAGTAACGGGCTTGGATACAAATATATTCACTCAAAACGAGTTTTTTTTTTGTTAAGCATGGTCAATTTTAAAAAATGTGTTATGGTTAATTGTTAGAAGAATTTTGAGTTTATATTAAAATAATATTTAAAATAAAATAACTAAAGTGGTTTTGATATAAAAATAGGAGAAAAATTATGTGAAGTGACGTTTGGTTAAAATTATGTGAGTAAATGGACAATGAATTAAAGTAGAAGTGATGAGTAAGACTAATTGATAAATATTATTTAATTGTATTGATAATATTGAGAATAGTGAGGTTGAGTTAGATTTTAAGTATTAATTGTATACGGACTGAGTTATTTTATATACAAACACACCCTAAGTCGACCGCTATTGAAAAGTTCACAAGTTAGCTTTATAAGTTGTAAAGTGGTACTTGTACGGGACGTTTACCGAACGACCAGGACTCGTACTAAATAGAACACCGGTTGACCGCGTTCGTACCAAGTTGAGACCGCAAAGAGGGGATGATTCGGATACGCAGCGTGGGAATCGAGTACGATTACGAGCGATTCGAACGAATAGACACTAGTTGGCGTGCTCGAGTGGCACTAACCATTACGAAGGATTGTTCGTACGATGCCCATTAATGTCGACGAGACTCGGGAATTTAAGATCCTACGGTGCAGATTTGTTTGGGACACGTGTTGCAGCCCGAAATTATTATTCACACAGGGATTAGTTTGTGAAGTAATGCTGATGTGTTAAAATATCTCTATAATATCTTTAAAAAAATGAAAATTCCAAAGAGGATTGTAACAATACCTCTCCATTCTTTCTATAAAAGGAATGAGAGACAACATTTAATGGCAGTGAATATTCTTCTCATAAATATTAAATGTTATGATCTTGCTATTTTGTGATTTTATTTTTGTATTTTTTTTCAAATAAGAGATGAAGGAGGGGGATAATGAAGATGATTGAGAGAGAGAATAGAGAGGGATACGAGAGATTGAAGAGAGAGGGAGTAAATTTGTTCTAACTGATTACTTGATTTCCTCATACACAATATTCAGCCATATAATGCAGGTACAATGAGTGGGACCCTCATATTCCCACTTCACAACTCATGCTAATAATAAAATGAAATACTAAAGTAAAATAGTAATAATAATACTAATAAGATAACAGGTTGAACAAGCACTAGCCCACTAGACTGATTTATCACCCAGTTGGGCCGCCTTCTCATCCTCAATGGGTTCACCTTGGCCCGACTTGTCCCTAAAGCCTGCTTTTGTCTTCATCCCAATAACATCATATATCAGATACATGCTAGCCCCGTTCCTCAGCCCAAACTCCATAATCGGGTACATGACAATAAACTACATATGAAAGTGTCCCTATTCGGTTTACACTTCCAGAGCATCTCTATTCGTGCAGACCGAACTAAGTACATAAATTAGTGTGCGGTTCATTATATTGTTGGTTACATATTCATGCATCAAAAGTACTTATCAATTATAAGTGAATTTTGAGTTTGTATAAAATCCAATAATCTAATTAGTTACTAGTATTTTTTTATCGTGTACGTGCACGGGTGAGATTAACTTAGTTATATTAAGCATGACATGAAGTTTAAATTCAATAATATAAATAAAAATATATTATTTATTATGAAAATTTAGTTGTATACAATATTATGTGTATGTCGACCGGTCCTCTCTTTATAAAAATATCTATATCTTTTCAATTTTTTATTTTTAAAATTATTAGTACTAGTTGTTGACGTTTATTATCGTCAGCCTTTCCATCGATTCTTGACTTGTCGGGGTGCCTAGCCCTGGTGGATCTTCAGGGGACTCCGAGGCGTAGGGTGACACCGCGTGTATCCATACAAACTCTTATTTTGAGGATGAGAATGCTTAGGCGATGCCATCAACTTTATCAGTTTCACTAAATGATGGTAGATCGTCAATCTTCCTCAAAAATACTTAGGAGGTGATCGATAAGGACTGGCTTCAGCCGATCGAGGGATCGAGAGACCTATCTTCGTGTCTTGGGTTGTTTGCGAGATGGTCCGCACCCCTTATGGGTCGTCTATTCGAGGGGATTGTTGTAGGCCCAACTTCTCATTTGGGCTATATATACCTTGTCTTTGAGAAATTTTGGGCACATCATATCAAATATCATATATTTATTTATCGCTTAATATATGTTGTTTGTTACTAATCTATATAATACTAACATTTGATCCTGTGTATTTGCACAACAAATAAAAAATTATAGTTATTTATATTTATATAATATTAAAATTATAAGTAAGATAATGATATTAAATTTTAAACATAGTGTATTATAAGTTATATTTGTACATATAATATTAAAAATTTTAAATATATTGCAGGACCATCTTGGAGGAGGGTTTAATTTCATGGGATATGATTTTTCAAATATTTGGTGTATCTTTGTAATATTCGAAAAAAATATTTTTTTATTATTGTATGACTGCAATAGAAAATAGAGATATTTGTAGTCATTGTTAATTAATTATGAAATATGTATTTATATAATACTAAAAAATATATAGTATCAAAACAAAGACAAAACTATTTTGTATTTCAGAACATAGTACATGGAGTTTCCTCATCGACCCTGACAAGAGCCCTGGCTGATTCACGTCCTAAAGCCACATCGACACTCCATGCATTCCAGAGACACTCGACACTTGACGTTCGTGACCGAAATTTTAATATCCCCACCGACCACAACATGGAGTTTCCCTCATGTCGATCTAATCTTAGGCCAAGCTTCCTTCATGTCGATATCGGTATTAAATGCAATACAAGTTGCTGCCCAAAACCGACTCACGGCCCAATATGAATAGGTTATGGGATTGCCACCCATAAAACTTGATACCTCTCTCATCCCTTAAAAGACGGGCAGTCACTTATCATCTTGCATGCAGACCGTATTACCCCCTTGGTACACACCACGTGCTCGACGAATCATCACCTTTTACCTAGTATAAGTTGTAAATAACCTAGACAAGAAAGATTATAAGCAAATCACCATAAAAATTGCTAGAACTATCAGAAGCATAATAAAAAGTGATGCACCATGGTTACCGAGAAACGAATTTTGTGATAGATTATTTAGCGTCGTTGGCAGCTAAAGGCCCGGGTGGGCTGCATCTGTTTGAGCGTCCTCCGCCGGAGGCAAGCTTATGGTTGCAACACGATAGGATGGGTGTGTCTCATCCTCGGTCCGTTCTAGTTTAGGCTCGGCGTAGCCTCCCTTTATTGCACCAAAAAAAAAAAAAAAAAAAATCTCCCAAAAATTATGTCTGGATTTCCTTAACTACGCCTTATATTTATTATAAATTCTCCCCCCAAAAAAAAATCATTATTTCACTAAACCAAAACAGAAGACTGCATAATCCATAAGACCAAATCATCAATCAAGACTTGGACAGAACCACATAGGCGCAGGGAAAGTCTTCCTCATGTTTTTAGCATCACACGGATAATAGCACGACGACACAGTCTTGTTCTCATAATCGAAAATGCCAATGTCATGGCCACCAGTTGGGAAATTGTCATCTTCAATCACTGCATCTTCTAGTGCATCCGTGAAGTAAATCGAATTTGGCTTGAGCTCCGGGAAATCAGCCGCCCGCAACGCGACTGCATCACTATATAAGCCGACAAAAAGAGCCCAACCACCCAAACACGAACCAGAACCTTCCACATACTTAACTTCCCCATCCTCAGGGTCATATTTATGTACATCAAAATCAACAGTCACACACGGAAGTCCTCGTTCGAAGGCATAGGCATCCGGGTCATTGCCATCCACATACAAACCATCAACATCAAATGAATCCGCCGGGTATTGAGTTACCACAAGAAGATCCTCCGCGGAAGGCCTCTCCCTTATTTTCATCAAACCAGTGGCGATCTCCGATTCGGATCCACTCATTGCTCAGCCCTGGGCAGCAGAAAGCCAGCGCTTGTACGTTGTTGTAGATCATGATAGCACGCAATTTGGTGCATCGTGGTCCTGGGAGCACGAGAGTATTACCTTTTATACTCCATTCGAGTTTGCAGGGTAATCGGGAAAGTGGCGAAAGGGAGGGAGGCTTATATGACGACGGGTAATTGGGTTGTAGAGAAACAAGTCCAGACTATCGTGGTCGTACAAAACTACCCAGCCGTGTGAAGATCCCCTAAAATGCATTAGAGGGCTCGTTAATTCTCTTTCTTGCTGCTTTTTCCGGTGGTTAGGGTTACGATTTTGTTGTCGGCGAGGCTGTAGAACTTGAAACCCCGGCTGGCGGCGCCGCTAACGTCGACGTCAAAGGCAGGCGGCAGCATAAGCCAAGGAGATGACGAGGATGATGGGTTATGTGGCGACAACATAGGCTCGGCTAACGTTGAGTTAAACCTATGCCTACAACATTCGGCAGAAGAACGAGGTCCAACCATCAATTTTTTGACAATCGGATAATTAGAAATTCCGGCAAACCATTTCCGACCAATTGGACGGCTGAGTGAGAAGGACGCCATCGATATAAAATTCGAAACAAATGAGTCAACAATCGGCCTCTGTGTTTTTTTGGCTGCTCCTCCTTTTATCTAATGCTTTAGTGAGGCATTTGACGCCGATAAGTGGGCTTCTCTACCCTGCTTTTGGGATTTCTGTGTATATTCGAAAGGCCCAATAGAGTAGAAGGGCCTGAATGAGGCAGAACCCACAATCGGATTTTAACTACTAAAGGGGGCCCAAAAAAACCCGAAAACAAAAAGAGTAAGAGACAGCTCCACTACTACTCCGGAGATCAGGCCACCGTCTAACTCCGATGAGCAGCCGCAAACCCTCGGCCGGACACGGCGAAATTGGTGTCACGGAAAAATCTCCAAAGAGGCAGGTTCCTACTTCCTAATCTCCCGTACCCAATTTTTTCGAATGGTTATGTACGAAATTATTTGGGAATATTTTAGTTTGTTAAAGTGGTGAAAACTTCGATTTGAGAGGCTAAAGGATTCGAGAGGCTCTTGTTAGTTGTTATTCATCAGAAAATTTGATCCCAAGGTGGCTCGGCTTTGTCCTCTTTGTTGTTCCTTGTATGCCCGATTACAGAAAAATTCGAGAAGTGAACGGTGTCGTTTTCTTGCCATGGAGAACAAGAGAGCTACCAAGTCACAGGAAGAAAAGTGGATGGTTCAAAATCAAGTCTTTCGGATTTACGATATTGTCTACCAGCTTCCTCCTCATGCTGAAGCCGTTAAGTGAGCTTCGTACTGTTTACTACAGTTAGTGCTTTTTGTCTGGCACAATCAGTTTGCTAGTTGATTTTATACTCCCATAACTTAAATTTGGATTCTAATATTTTTGTTCGGTATGTTTTGGCATGTGGAAGTTGTAGCTTTGAGCTTCGACGAGACAACCACATTGAATACCTCACCAAAAGTCTCAAACAACACGACCCAAATTTTACTGTTCTGGATGCTAAAAGTATAGCTTTTCTTCTTCTGTATTAATATAAGAATATACTTTTTACATATTCTGCGTGCTTACACGCACACACAGTCACACACGTATTATATCAGCTGTAGATTCATTTAATTTGACGTGTATGTCATAATGTTCTGATTTTTATTTCGAGGTAATACTATTGATGTTCATTGAAATCAGTCTATAGTTTCACATAGCCATGGAGAGTGTGCTCATAGTAGGTAGCTGAATGCACTTGCAGCAACAAAATCGTGAGAGTTGAGAATTTTTTATTCATGTTTTTCGATCCACAATCCGAAGCAGAAAACATATAATGACAGCCTATATGGGTTTTGTGTCGGTAAAGGCTGCGATAACATAGGCTCGGCCAACGTTCTCATGCCTTTAGGATAAAAGGAGGAGTTCAATCGTTACGTACAAAATTTTGGGCGGAAGAACAAGATCCAGGCGTCAATTTTCCGACAAATGGATGATTATGAAATCCGGCGAACCATTTCCGATCGATTGGACGAGTAAGTGAGAAGGATGAAGCCATCAAGAGAGAAACTTTGGGAAGTCAAAAGAGTTTTGTTTGGTCTAAACTCTATCTCGCTGTGTTACTGTTAGTCATTTTTTCAACTGCTCTTACATGTAACTTATATATATATATGCTTTAATTGAATTATCATTTATATTAACAATCAATTACTTATTTAAAATTATTTTAGAATGTTTAGTGTAATTAAATTAACATTACTTATTTTAAAAACAGTTTTTAATGTTTCGAAAAAATAAATTTTTTTAGACTAACTAAACTACAAAGTAGTTATCTGATATAAATTAAAAAAATATATATAACATGAGACAGTAACTCATGTAAAAGCACCCACAATGTTTTAGGTCTATTCAAAAAAATATACATGCCACGTGGGAAATAGACCCAGACTAGAAAAATATACTTTTCAATGCAAGTATAAATAGATTGGGTCGTGCTGATGTGACAACAATAAAAAGAGACTCAGTCTACCCTTAGAGCACCCACAATGCATTGAGTCTCTTAATAAAATATCATATGCCACATAAAAAATAGACTTAGTCTATTAAAAAATATCTCTCAATACAATTGAAAGTGGACATGGTCTAACTTATGTGACAATAAAAAAAAGAGACCAAAGTCCACACTTGGGTCTAAAAGTACAAAAACAAACACTCATCATTTATTTCTAATTTAATTTTTCTTTTAATAAAGGAAACATATTAGAGCATTTTTATTGGTTGACATGTATGCTAGACCTAGTATTATATTTTTGTATTGAATATTTTTTGAGTTTTTTTATTTGAGTTTGTCCATATCATTTAGGACTTAAGTCTATTTATATGCCACATATGTAAAATTAGTATCAATGCATTGTGGGTGCTCTAAGGCTATTTTATGGGTGCTCTAAGGTATTTTAGACTCATATTGACAAATGTGAGTGTGTGTTTAAGTTGATAGATGTTTAATGAAATTATAATGTGGACATGAGGTTGATAAAAGAGAAGTAGATTGATGCTCTTACATGGCCTATTGAAGTATTTTATTTAGGTGGCACGTCGTCTATTTAAATCAACTTAGGTTTATTTGACAACACATTACTTATCCGATGAACACACGACAAAAAAATCAATTTCTGGCCTAAAAGGACCTACATTGCAACTAATTTCTAAATTAAGGGATTAAATGACGACAAGTTAATATTGTGGGATTAAAAATGCTATTCGTTCAAATTCTTGAAGACTAAAATTATAATTTAGCCAAAACAATATTTTTCATTTATTTTCATTATCTTAAGTTAATTTTAATATCAATATTTATAATTCATTAGAATTATTATTATGTAATTAACAAAAATGAAATTGGATATGATATTGTTTATATTTATTTACTAAAACATTGACAAAATGCTTTCTAAAATATTAACCAAGATTGGAGTGAAATGTAAATTTTTAATCTAAATGTGATATCTTCATTAAATAAACACAGAATAATTTATATATAGTGAGCAAGTATTATTGACAAGGTAGGTTGTAAATATTAAAATATTTATATGAAGTGAATAAATATTAAAGAATATTGAATAGAGTAGGTTTAAGATATTAAAATTTATTAAAATAAATTATAATATACTTTTCAATTTTTGACTTTGATTAGTAGCACATCATAAAATATAATTACTAAATTTAGTAAAGTGGGCATAAACTTTGAAGTGCTCCTTCCTAAGCTTATCAATCGAATAGTTCACACAGTCACTACACTTTCAGAGGTCCTACCTACAAAGAAGACTTTTACGAGCTATAGTTCACACAATCACGACACTTTCGGAGCTCCTATCTACAAATAAAGAAGACTTTTACGAAATCGAAATGAATATGCAATTATGTTTTTTTAACATGTTAAAACTTTGGTTTTCTTAATTACATCTGTATACATATATTTTTTCTTGTAAAAAAAATAAATTTATTATATAAGAAAAAATATTAATCATCGAACTTTCGGAGGTCCTACCTACAGACTTTTACGAGCTTATCAGTCGAATAGTTCACACAATCACGACACTTTCAGAGGTCCTACCTACAAAGAAGATTTTTACAAAATGAATATGCAATTATGTTTTTTTACATGTTAAAACTTTGGTTTTCTTAATTACATCTGTAAACATATTTTTTCTTGTAAAAAAATAAATTTATTATATAAGAAAAAATATTAATCATCGATAAAGTTAATTATTGATGTATTAAATTTTGCATAATCTTGTATATTAATTAGTATATTTTGTAATAATATATTTTATGTATTATGTATGATATAAAAATAAATAAATTTAGTAATGTGCTTATATTCACTCAAAATGAGTTTTTTTTGGTTAAATATAGTTAATTTTAAAAAATGTAGTATAGTTAGTTGCTAGTAGAATTTTAAGTTTATATTAAAATAATATTTAAAATAAAATAACTAAAGTTGTTTTGATGTAAACATAGGAGAGAGATGATGTGAAGTAATATTTAGTTAAAATTATGTGAGTAGATAAACAGTAAAGTAGATGTGATGTGTAAGAGTGATTGATTAATATTATTTAATTATATTGGTAATATTGAAAATAGTAAGGTTGAGTTTAAATTGAATTAGATTTTGATTATTAATTATATATAGACCAAATTATTTTATATACAACACACCCTAAGTCCACCGCTACTGAAAAGTTCACTTCACAAGTTAGCTTTATAAGTTGTAATTATAAGTGGAACTTATCATTATAAGTAGATTTTGAGTTTGTATAAAATTCAATAATCTAATTAGTTACTAGTACTTTCTTACCGTGTATGTGCACGAACGAGGTCAACTTAATTATATTAAACATTGCATGAGCTTAAATTCAATAATATAAATAAAGTATTATTTATTATGAAATTTCAGTTGTATACAATATTATATGTACGTTGACCGGTCCTCTCTATATAAAAATATCTATACCGTTTCGATTTTTTATTTTTAAAATTATTAGTATTGGCTGTTGACGACTATTGGCGTCAACCTTTCCCTCGGCAGGTTATTGCCTTGTCGGGGTGCCAGCCCCCGGTAGATTTTCAGGAGACTCCGAGGTGTAGAGTGACGTTGCGTGTATCTATGTAAACTCATTTGAGGATAGAACGACTTAAGCGGTGTCATCAACTTTATTAGTTCGATGGGAAATAATCAATCTTCCTCAAGAAGGGCCAGATGGTCCACACACCTTACTACTTTATTAATTCAACCATTTGATGGGAGATAGTCAATCTTCCTCAAGAAGGGCCAGATGGTCCACACACCTTACTGGTCATATTTTCGAGGCGATTGTCGCATGCCCAACTTCTCATTTGGACTATATCTTCCGTGGACCTTCTCATTGAGAAATTTTAGGCACAACATATCAAATATCATATATTTATTTATCATTTATCTTGTTTGTTACGTATATAATATATTTTTTGAGTGAAATTATGTGTGTCTGAAAAACAAAGTAACCGGAAGACAAACTCTTAAATAAATTAATTAATATAATACTTACAGTTACTAATCAGGAAATAACGGTAAAACCCTCTTTTCTCTTCTCCTCAATAACGTACCAAGTATTATTATCTTCTCCAATTGCCTTTTCACTTCGCACGGCATTAGTTTTCATCTATGCCAGTGTTAATTTATAATATAAAACCTGTTAGATTAGTGAAAATTACGGGCTTTTGACTTTTCTGTTTCTTGTTTACAGTTCAGGGAACGAAGAAGAAGAGCAATAATAATGGGAGGATTTTGCAGCGAGGACCTATCATTTTCGTCAAATTACAGCTTCTCGAGCTCTCAAGATCTGAGATTGTCCAAGCGCGTCCATGACAATGTTCATAACAGCATTTATCTCGACCCAGTAACGTTTTTCAGTTCTTTCTATTTTTCTGTGTTTTGTTTTGTTTTGTTTTGTTTTGTTTTGTGTGTTCAATTTTAGCTTATTCATGCTTTTTGATATGGGATGTTCTAGTTTTATGTTTGAATTTGGTACTTTTGGTGGTTGTTTCAAATGTGAGTGTAATTATTTGTTCCTATAAAGTTATGTTTGGCTTAGATTTTGATTTACTGAAATTTTAATGCTCTTGTTGTTGTCTGTAATTGGTTCCTAATTACTTGAATTTTGAAAGTTGCTGTATATGTATAGCAGTGCGCTTTATTGTGCTTGCTTAAGACTAAAATTGCATCCGATGTTATGTGGAGATAAACAATTTNNATGTTTTTTGCAGCTCGTCTTGAAATTCATCGACACTGAGCAATTTCAGAGGTTAACGTCATTTTTCCTTTGGCAGCTTTTGATACTCCATCGTTCACTCCTTTGCCGTAAATTGGTGCTTCGTGCATCACTATCAATGTTCTTGTGATAATTCAGTTTCTAATTTGTACTCATTATGATGACAGGCTGCGTGATCTTAAGCAACTAGGTATGCAAAATTTGGCTATTTTCATTCTTACCAATCCTTTTAAAAATATTCGATGCTTCACTCTCGAAACATTTGTATCGAGTTGTGTTAGTTTTTTATGAACTAACACTGTTCCATAAATTGTATGAAGAGAAATTTCACCGCAGTATTGGAGGCTGGAATTTCCTAATAGGCTGATCCATTATGCACTTTTATTCTTTGTTATTAAAATCATAAATGTTGTTGTACCTAAACAATGTTAAACTCTGCATTAGGTGAACCTCTTTTAACCTTTTAAAATTTAACATCACATAAGTTGAATGGTCAACAGTTGGGTTGGGCCTATGTGTTGCTTTGTTAGAATTTCAGTTTGTTTAGAACTTGTTTTAGAAGAATGGCTTTGAAGCAACCAATAGGCAATAGCAATGCATTTTGTAATTTATTTTTCAGGGATGGTCCATATGGTTTATCCAGGAGCTGTTCATTCTAGGTTTGAGCATTCCCTTGGAGTTTACTGGCTAGCTGGTGAAGTGGTTCATAGACTTAAAGTCCAACAAGTAAGAATTGCATGAACACTTCCACTCCATAGTAAATTGTTAAGATATAGGGTGTTTTGTTTTAAGAAGTAAGTGCATTTTGCAGGGGTCAGAACTCGGTATCGATCAGTTTGATATGCAAACTGTGAAACTTGCAGGTCCTATGGATGAAAAGAAAACCCTTTAACTTATACATTTATGAAAGAATATATCTATTTGCACACTTGTTAACATTTACTGTCTATTATGCTGTTGATAGGGCTCCTGCATGACATAGGTCATGGGCCATATAGTCATTTGTTTGAGCGTGAGTTTCTTCCCAAGGTTCTCAATTCATCAGAATGGTAATATAGCTGAGCTGGCTGCCTATTTACCAGTTGCAATGATTAAGTTTTAATTCTTGGTTAATACTTTATTTTATTTTGTGCGAGAATCTCATATGTTCATTTGAACTTTAATTTGTAGTCTGTGACGTCTGTGTTACAATAGTGATAAGCATTTATATTAACCTGGCTGCGGTTTCCTGTTTCTTTTTGGTTTTTAGAATTATTCCATAAAACCCACAAGGTGAATATTCCTGGGCAAACTCATGTTGTTTGATAAAGTGAATTAATGCCAAAAACCGTACTTAGAATGAGTTTGGTGATTGATGTAGTTATAAGCTTTTGCTTTAGAAGTTCAGTATTCCTGACTGATATGGTGCAAGAAACTAATCCAGAACCCATTGCCTTACTTTGTTTGTTGTTGTGCTATGACAATTTTATATCTTCAAGTCCTAATTTTTTTCTGTGGATGCAACTTTATGGCCATTTATCACGCACAGTACCTCTTTGAGTTTCTTCTCTCTCTCTCTCTCTCTCTCTCTCTCTCTCTCTCTCTCTCTCTCTCTCTCTCTCTCTCTCTCTCTCTCTCTCTCTCTCTCTCTCTCTCTCTCTCTCTCTCTCTCTCTCTCTCTCTCTCTCTCTCTCTCTCTCTCTCTCTCTCTCTCTCTCTCTCTCTCTCTCTCTCTCTCTCTCTCTCTCTCTCTCTCTCTCTCTCTCTCTCTCTCTCTCTCTCTCTCTCTCTCTCTCTCTCTCTCTCTCTCTCTCTCTCTCTCTCTCTCTCTCTCTCTCTCTCTCTCTCTCTCTCTCTCTCTCTCTCTCTCTCTCTCTCTCTCTCTCTCTCTCTCTCTCTCTCTCTCTCTCTCTCTCTCTCTCTCTCTCTCTCTCTCTCTCTCTCTCTCTCTCTCTCTCTCTTTTTCGGTCCATACTGTGCTTTCTTGTTTTCTTATCATTTTTGTTGACAGATACCAGTTAAACTGTTAATGTGAATATGTAGGTCTCATGAGCAAATGTCTGTAAAGATGGTGGATCATATTGTCGATGAGCATAATATTGATATTGATGTTGAGACCGTGAGTAGAGTCAAGGTCAGTTGATGAAATCTTTTAAATGATATTGGTTCTAGTTTTCAAGGCTTGTGCAAGTTTATACTGAGCTTGCTCAAAATAATGCTTTTGTTTGCTGGTAGATGGCTAATGTGAAAAAATTATTGACTCTTTTGAGTTCTTTTATTTTGACTCGAAACTCTTATGTTGACAGGAAATGATACTTGCAAGTTCAAAATATGCTACAATCAAAGTAAGCCTTATTTGTAAAACTGTGGTGATTTGTAATTGTGTTGATAAAAGTGCCGGCTTTATTGTGTAATCTCTAGAGCTCGAAAGAAAAGCGATTTCTGTATGATATTGTGGCAAATGGTCGAAATGGCATTGATGTTGACAAGTTAGTAATTCCAACCTCAAAAGAACTATATTACTCTTTCGAACTCTCTCCTTCTCTCCATGATATTACTCTTCTTCTACTGTATGGTCTCATTTGACATAGTAATCGGGATATGGAAAATCTGTGCTGCAGGTTTGATTACATTATCCGTGATTCACGAGCTTGTGGTGTGGGATGCAACTTTGAGTATTCAAGGTTGTTGTCAAATTTGCTTTACGATTCATTTCATCTGTATGTAGGATATTAGCAGCGTGGTAAAGATATTACTGAAATGCAATTATCTTGCAAATGATTATTTTTGTGACTCGCAGGTTAATGCAGAGTATGAGGGTTATGGGAGATGAAATATGCTACCGCTACAAAGAACGTAAGTATTTAAATGATGACCGATGAACACTCTTTTCCTACATACTAGTATTTTTTTTTTTTTTTTCTATTGTACCATTCAATTATAATACCAGATCGAACCATCCACAAGTTGTTTGCCACACGAGCTGATTTGTTCAGAACCGTTTATACTCATGCAAAAGTAAAGGTAATTTATTTATCCTACACCTGCACTCGGATTTTATTTATTTATTATTATTATTATTCTTTTGTGTGTGTGTGTGTTTTGTCACAGCTGCTTTCTTCATTTCATTTAACCTTAATGATTGTATGGGTTTCTTCAGGCTATAGATCTGATGCTTGTAGATGCATTAATCAGTGCAAATAGTTATTTGGAAATAGCATCTGACATACAGGATCCTTCAAAATATTGGAAGGTTTGGGGACTTTTATATTACATAAATAATTTAATACTGCTTACTGTTCTACTGAGGTTTTTCCTTTACTCGTGCAGTTAGATGACACTATCATCAAGACCATCGAGACAACACCTGGCCAAGAACTCAAGGAAGCTAGGGACTTAATCCTTCGCATACGCAGGAGAGATTTATACCAGGTCTTTTTTACATATTTAAGTTACCCGATGATTTTTATTTTTCTCTTCGTTCTTTATTCTTTTTCAACTTTGATATTGCGTGCTCACGACATACTACTTCACTTTCTAAAGTACTGTAATGAGTATGCTGTTCCAAAAGACAAATTGGAGAATTTTAAGAATGTCACGGCGCAAGATATTGTTTGCTCACAGGTACTCCATTTGTGTTATTATTGGTACTTAATGAATAGCTCGAGTTTTAAGCCTGCACCTTATTTTTTATGTGATTATTAATTATGCAGAAAAATGGTGGAGTGACACTCAGAGAAGAGGATGTTGTGGTAAGCAATGTTCGGATTGATTTGGCTCGTGGGAGGCATAATCCTCTCGAGAGGTGCTTCTTAATCCTATGTGATCACACATTTTCTTGTGCATATATATATGAATCGAGTTCTGAATGGCTAATACAAACATTTCTCTCTGTTGTATATATATACACTTTCCTTTCTCCAGCGTCATGTTTTTCCAGGTACGATAAAATACTGTTTTCCAATTTATTATTTGTAAAATTTATTTATTTTCTTTAAATTTCGGTTCAGGATTACGATTGTGAGGATAAGTTCCCTATAAGTGACAATCAAGTGAGTCACCTGCTTCCGACATCTTACCAAGACATGATTGTGCGAGTGTACTCCAAAAAGCCTGAACTGGTCTTCTGCTCAACTCAGCTATTAAAAATTTAAAATCATTTAATTTTCGAGGGTTACATTGTAATACGTTGTAAGTTTTTAATACTTCTGCGCAGGTTGGAGTGATTTCTGATGCTTTCGAGAATTTCCAGTTGAAGGCATATGGGATCAAAGCGCAAGTACATTCCACGCCGGAAAAGAAAAAACGAGCTGGAAAATAACTGCTCATCATTGATTTTACACATCAACTAATTCAGTAATGCATTGCAATTGCATTTTCTGCTGTATGTTATGTATATAATGGATTCTATATATGTGCATATATATGATATGTCATACGTATATTTGGTGTGCATTTGTATATTACAAGCTTGCTCTCGTGACGGTTTTATTTGGTTTTCAAGTGAAATATAATTGGTTTGGTCATTGGTGTATTATATAATAAATTAAGGTGTGTTTTGATTGGTTTAGAGTATTCAATACTCTAATTAGAGTGTCTTTTTCTTCTATTTTCTTCGTACAAATAATTTCAATTTGGAGGGATTGGTTTTAAATATGGAGGCCTCTTTAGACTAATCAAATTAGTCCCATATCATTTTGCTTGATGGTCAAATGCATTTATGGGATCATGAGATGAAACATTTTAGTATTGGTTTTATGAATTAATAATCTTGAACACTCTAATTTGTGAAATCAACCCCACACACTTATTTGCTGAAATTTAAATACACCAAACATTCTTCAAGTGGGTGACTATAAGAATGGGTAATCTATGGTTTTGATATTGGTCAAAGGAACTTGTATGGACTTATAATTTGTGATTTAGCTGTGGTAGAACAAATTTATCCGTTTTAATCATAGATTGATAGCCACGGTAATCAAGCGTTTTAATAACTCTCTTCAAGGATGTTCCTCTTTGGATCTCCACGGTAATCAAGCGTCTTTTTTTATACCGAGGTTCCAGACTTGCGTCTGACTAGTCCTCAAGGAAACAGCTCCGGCCCCTCAGACACTGCTTCCAATTAAACCCCTCAGACACTGCCTCCAATTAAACCGCGGTAGCCACACAATGGCTCCCAAGTACTTAATACCCTCAACTACCGCGCACAAGGAGTCGATCCCCAAGTGATCTCTCGTTGGCCCTCCCAGCTCCAAGTTGGCCCCACCTATCCAGCTGCTGGTTCCCACCGAAGTGATCGCTCGCTGGCCCCCCAACTTCATGCTGGTCCCACCGAGTTTCAACCTTCCACACTGCCGCTTCTAGTTCTCAGTATTAATTGTTCTACCATTGCGCTCTGGGGGCTCGAACCCTTGACCTCATGTCAAGGGTGCCTCATTCTTACCACTAGGCCAAGAAGTCATTGGCAACTTTATTTTTAATTTTAGTATGTCCGGTACATGTTATAGCTCATTTGGCTTGTGCAAAGTGTTCGCCAAAATCGAACATTTACAAATTCAATAATCTTTGAGTTACTTAAACTCAATTTTGAGTTACATAAATTCAAATTCTCACACATTTCAACTTTAGAATTAATATCTTATTCAACATAAAATGCTTTTGAAATTTTATTCTAAGTTTTCCACCTATTAAAAATAAAACCGTGAAATCAGCACAAAGTCAAATTTTCTTACAACAATAGCAATTCAAGTATTCAACGAGGGATAAACACGCTGTAGATACCTTTATAAACAAAATTTTCTTACAACAACAATAGCAAATTCAAACAGGGATAGACACGCTCTGGATACTTTTATTTTATGAATGACAAAGTCACACAAATTTGAGGAAAGAATTAGGATAAAACTCATTTTGTGTAAGTGTCATACCAAAGGATAATTCTTCCCAAATTATTAAACTCATTCTTAAATTCAATAAAATATTCGCTTTCTTAACGAGTTTTTAACTTTTCAATTTTAGCTACACATGTGATAATGGATTGGGATCAGTCTAGGTTGAACCTTGAGATTTCCTGATTCTAGATAAATAATAACCTTTTGTTTGTGATAGAAAACATTTTGCATGAACGGGCTATATAGAAGCCATAATTAAGATGACATTATATGTCTGAAAAACAATTAAATTTCATTTTTCTAAGTTCATCAAAATTTCAAAAGCTTGTCATATATTTTGACAAAAATATAATTGTGAAATGTCATACTTTTAATTACGTTTATTTTAATAAGGCATTTTAATATAAAGATATACATAATTATATAAATCTATGGCTACCTTTTTAACAACAACCGGGTACACAATTATATAAATATATGGCTAGCTACCATTTAACAGCAACTGGGGTGCAAGTCGAGTCGAGCTCGAGCTCATGCTGCTCAAGTTCGAGCCATTAACGAGTCAGGCTTAGTTCCGCTCGTTAACTTAACGAGCTTATAATCGAGCTCGAGCTCGACTCATTTATCAATACTAATGTGTCAAGTTTGAACCTTAAAGAGTCAACATCGAGCCAAACTATATAAAACTACGTAAAAATTCTCGGGAGGAACAGTGGGCGAAACTGACTGACTTATTTTTTCGAGCCTTAACGAGTCTTATCAAGCCGAGTCGAGCTCGTCTCTTTAATTGAACAATTTTTAAATGTGCTCGAGCTCGGCTTGTTTATCAAATGAGCCAAGCCGAGCCGAGCTCACGAGTGGCTCCTTTAATTCAACAGCTCTCTACAGCCAAAGATAATATCCTTGAATTAATACAAGTCAAAAAATATATTCACATATGTATAGGATAGTATACAAGAACAAAAGATTTTGACATATAAAACACAACAGTTAGATTTGACAAACCTTAAAATATAGTCACCATATCAATTGATCATGGAACAATGTACCTATTATATTATATCAAGTACTGATCATGACATATAAATTTTAAACAACATCAATAATCATTATGATGTTCAAAATTCATACAACCTGCTTAATTTATTTTTCCAATTGATAGTCAAGGAGTTCAAATTGGCCTAGCTATCTTGCATATTATTTATAACAAAAACAATTATTATATAGAAAAAAGCACTAAACAGTCTAAACACCATTCATATGTCCAATACTATAGAGGAAGATTAGTGGTTGGCCGGTTGGCAAAGAAAGTGACAAGAAAATAGCAAAACAAATACGCAAAATGTCACAAATATCAGTCCCACTACCCAAAAAATAAAGAAAGTAGCACTAAGTTTTTTTTTAAAAAAAAAAAAAAATTGATGTAGCAATATATATCTCAAAAGCATTGTTCCTTCTCAGGTACTTTTGCTTTATCGGTGGAAAAGCAAATTAGTTTAAATACATATATTATAATCATGTAGGAAATAATTTATCAAGATTTAAAGATCTAAACCTACTTAAATTTCCAACAAAAAAATAAAATTAAAGGTATGTGGTTGACCTTATTCAAAGAGATTTCTTTAAGAGGTTCCATGTGTACCTTCTAATTTGAAAATATTTCGATAATCCAAGGTATATATTAATGTATAAATAATGATGACATAGGTAAATTAATGACATTTGGCAAGTAAAAGTGAAAAAAATATAAAAGAAAGATGATTGTAAAATATGAATCTTTTTTGAAAATGTCTTAAACTTTCATAATTTAAAAAATATACTCTGTAGTTAAGTGAACTTTAGTAAATTTTCAACCTACACTCACCTTTGAATAGAGTTAGAAAGCATATTATAATGCCTATATATGTTATTAAAAAACCAGACTAAATCTTCTTGCATCATATTAGTAGTCAAAAAGATACCTTCCACGTATATATCCTCTTTTTCTACGTACCTTAGCAAATAAGGAACTATAACAAATAAAACATTTATCCTATTTTCGCCCATACGCGCACTTGTTCGTGCAATTTTAAGGCATACTTGTTCATGGAATAATTTGCTCAAAATGAGTTATTTTGATTAACTAGAGTTAAATTTAAAAAAAGTAGTATGATTAGTTATTAGTGAGATTTTATTAATGCATTAAAATAATATTTAAAATAAATGATTATTGTTGATTTGATGTAAAAGTATGAGATAAATGATTGAAAATGATAGGTAATTAAAATTATGTGAGTGGATGAATAGTGAATTAAAGTTGATGTGATATGTAGTTTATAATATTTAATTATATAAATAATATTAAGGACAGTAAGATTGAGTTAAAGTTGAGTTAAATTTTAAGTATAAAATAAATGTGAGTAAATTATTTCATAAAAAAGCTTTTAGCAGTCAAACTTTATCTATTCACAAATGATATTGTTAAGTTATTAATCTATTAGACATATATATTTTTTAATAAAAATATTTATATTTAAATATATTATCCGTTTGTTTATATTGCGTTTAGAGTATGTTAACCATAGCCATCTTAACAAAAAATATATCGTATACATTATTCAATTAAACGGTTTTTTTGGTCGTTTATTTGATTGGATTGCTAGAAATATATTCCACCATTATTAGGTATTCCACATATCTTGTTTCATCTTTATCTTATGCTCTAATTAGGAATTTAGGCGTAACTAATTTATTCTTGGGTAAAATATTTTTCAACCTGCACTATATTTGTTTTTGACATTGCAACCTATAGCAATTTTTTAATTAAATGAAACTTGAATATCATCAACATTCATAATTTGTAATTTTTCACACATTTTAACCATACAAACGTGCATTTTTCCGGATGATTAAATGATTGAGAGATTACAAATTATGAATATTCATGATGAAGTTCAAATTGCATTTTATTAAAGTTTCAAAGTCCAAAATATGAATGTTACAGTTGCAGCCACCCTTTATTTCTTAATAAAAATTGCGGATTTATATAATTTAAACTTATTCGGCATATAAAATATAAATTAATTACTATCAAATCAAAACTAGACTGTACAACGGAGCTTTATAAAAAAACTCAACCATACCAGTCCACTAGCTAATAATCTAAAGTCAATTTAATTTTCTAATTTATCTTTCTTATATGCGTAAAATTTTTAAAACTGATAATATTTGCATGATCAATATTAATGCGAAGGAGCACATTGTTTTTGTCTAGTATTTTCATATGTTTTTTCTTAGTACTTTTCAACTCTTCAATGAGTACTTAACTGGTTCATCGAACTCATAACACAAATTAAACTGAAGTTTAAAATTATGCTCCACTTACATCTCCCTTTTCTCTCCGAGTGGATTGATTGATAATTAAAACCACAAATATTTCAAAGTATTTGTCACACGTCCCACTTATTCATATTTGATATCGGGGTTAATTTAAAAAAATAAAAAATAAAAATCCAAAGCTTAGTCTAATTATGACAAAATACACACTAACTAATTAGCTCTTCAGCATGATTGTATGAGTGGAATTTATATTGATATGACGAAATTATAAAGTTTGGGTTTAATTAGAGTTATATTGATATTTTTAATTTTGTATAAACAAATGCATATCATGAAAAAAATTAAACATATAGTTATCTAACAAATAAGTTAATGTTAGCTAAAATATACGTTTTTTGAGATGATTAATATGTATACGTTACCCAACCAAAATATTGCTTTCATAGGCCAATATGTACACTTAATATAATCATGAATTTCAATATTTGCTAGATTATTATTAAACCCTTCACTACTAGATATGCTTTTACTAACAAAAAATATTTCTCATTTTGGATTATTTTAATTACTTTCACTGTAATTGCTTTAGCGATAATTAGTTCACTATAAAATGCCAATTTTATGATAATTACTTCTCATTTTGAATAGATTCTCTGGTCCCTTCCCCGTGTGTGGCCATCCTGCAAGTGCAATTGGATCTCCAGTTTTAAAAATGTATGAACAGTAGCATGCACTTGAATTTCATATAAACTTTTTAGATAAAAAACAACAAACATTTTGTATAAAGTATTTATTTATTTATTATTGTTTATTGGTAATGTAAATGCTGTAACATATCTACAAATTATTCACCGTAAGGCTGTCAGTGTGTGTAAGTGACATTTTGAAAATTAGCTTACAAAAATTATGATATTTCTTAGTATGAATATATATTTCTTTTTATAAGATTACTCTTAGACCGATCTAATAGTTAGACAGTAGTAATTTTTCAACATGTATGTGTACTTTTAGACTGAAATATCGTGACTCTAAGAAATAATTAAAAAAAAAAAAGTATACCATTGTAATGCATAACTATGTATATTAATTAAAATATTATGAGGGTCGATCTACTTAACGATTATACCATTTATTATATTAATTTAGAGTATTTTAAACAAGCACTTGGTCTCATTTTTCATTATCACGTTGATTAATAAAGTATCATTCGTATACGGTGCATACTGCTATATAAGTCAACTGTATAAATTTATACAATTGAAAAACTAATGACCGAGTACAATAGGTGATCTGAATTGCACAAATTTGATTATTTGAATACAATAATGTCTAAAATTTTATCGTTTGATTTTTTGATATTTATACTAAGACGTAACCCAGACAATCTCCCGACAGCAGAGAATGGCGACTCTTTATCTGCCACACATTCTACAGTGACTCAACGGCTCAGATCTGCTCCACGTACACCCTGCGCACGTTAGTGCCATCCAATCAATTCGTCACAGCTCATACCTCGAATTTCTAAATTTGCCCACGCCAATCATTACGCACCAGCACAATACATTCCAAAGTCCACTTGGGCAACATAGTCTTTTCTCTTCCAACATACCACTATAAAAACCCCTGGACTCCCCTTGATCACCTCCGGCTGCGAAAATCACCTTACTGCCACAGTAATATAGCCATAGCCAAATTACCATATTGTCCTCACCTGCAATCTTCCTCCTCCAGCAAAACGGAGTGCGTACAAGGCTGATTTTCCGGCTGAAAATTCGAGCGCCTTCCTAACGGAGAATTAAAAAACTTCCGGAGCTGGGAAAAGTCTTCCTTCGCATGATGGGATTTTGCATCTGCCCGTTGGATACGCCGGCGAGGTTGCTCTGGTGCTCGAGCTTCTTCCGCCACAAGCTAATGTTATTTTAATAAATTCATAATTACTAATTTCAAGCGAAAATTGCACTCGATTTACATCGTATTTTTGAGGTACTTGAAAAAATAAAGCTCTTTAGATTCATATATATATATCTACGTACGCTTGCGGCGGTCGATTTAGATTGATTTAGCCGCCGGCGATCTGAAATTAAAAAAGAAAAAGGGGGAAATGGAATCCGGGCGGTTTTACTTCGACCCGTCTTGCCAAAGCAACATGTTCATGGGGAATGGCGACTCACGTTTTCGAGGTATCCAAAAACAACCTTTATTCATTTTTTCCCCGTTTTGCCCCTGTATTTGAAATTTTTAGCTAAAGTGTCCGGGTTTGGGCCGTTAGATCACATGATTTCACATAGATTAAAAATTTTATGTATAAAATCTCATATCCAAAGCTTAAAACTCTGTTTTAGGATGTTCTGAATTTATTTATTTTCAGCGTGGAAGTAAATATTTAAAATTATGTATATTATGTGTATTAGGAGCAAGATCGGTAATAGACATGGAAGAAAAGAAGCGGCCTTTCTTTAGCATGGCTGAGGAGCTTTATGACGAGGAATATTTCGACGAGCAGTTGCCGGAAAAGAAACGCCGTCTCACGCCTGAGCAGGTTCATTCATATATGTAACTAGATAAGATTATTTTTTCTCTAGAAATGATGTTTGAATATAGCATAAAGTTTTAGTTAGTTGAACCGGGGGCTCATATGTTCGAATCTGGACCACTCATCGGAATCTAGTTTTCCATAATCGATTAGGGAGTGATTTGAAATAAGTTATTTTGGTTTTGATTGAATTTGTTGGATAATCGAAGTTAATTTTGATAAAGTTAATTGAGTTAGATTTAGTGAATTTTGAGTTTGTATTAAAATAATATTTGAAATATGATGATTAAAGTTTATTGGAGGTAAAAGTAGGAGAGATATACATGGAAGAGATGGGTAATTAAAATTATATCAGTGGATGAAGAATGAATGAAAGTTGATATAATGTGTGAGGATAATTGATTGATATTGTTTATTTATATTAATAATATTGAGAAGTTTATATTAGATTTGAATTAAAAAATTTGTCATAATTTGTATCCAACCAGGGCCTTAGCGTTTCAAATACAAAATTACTTCAGTATTTGATAATCATTTAGTCTAATTTAGTTGGATGGCAAGGATTCACACTCCTTTCTCATTAGAATGTTTTGATACAGTCTATGATAGGTTTACCTTAATAATAGAAAAAAAAAAAAAAAAAAATTGTTTTTTTCGTGTTCTTTTTTTGAATTGCAAGTATACCCTCAAGGGTACTATAACAAATGTGTTCTTTATAGTTAGTTGCATATTGAAGGATTTATTCGATTGGTGGTGATGTGGTTGGTTATCAATATCAATAGGTGCACTTGCTGGAAAAGAGCTTTGAAGCTGATAACAAACTGGAGCCCGAGCGCAAGATCCAGCTGGCTAAGAATCTGGGCTTGCAGCCGAGACAGGTGGCGGTTTGGTTCCAAAACCGTCGTGCCAGGTGGAAAACCAAGCAGCTAGAGAGAGACTATGATGAGCTTAAGGCCTCCTTTGATTCTCTTCGTTCCAATTACGACTCCATTGTAAAGGAAAACGACAAGCTCAAAGTTGAGGTAAAGAAATGGTTTAACTGCTCAACTTTTCACTCCTTTTTATGGTGTGATATGATTATATTCGAAGGCGTTATTATGCAATGATGACTAGTTAGGTTGTGTTTGGTAAGTATATAAGCTAGCTTATAGCTTATTTAATTAGTTTATTAGTTTCTTGCATTCAAATAGACTTGGTTTGGTAGGATGAGCTTTTTTAAAAAACTCGAGTTTATCTCATAAGATTCCTTTGGTAATTTTTTAAATAAATCCATTAAAATTTTTATTTCAGCTAGCTTATCCACTAATGTTACTAAACACTTTCATCATAAGCTAATTTTTCAGCCATAAGTCATAAGCTATAAACTATTAGCTAGTTTTACTAAACATAGCCTAAATGATTCTATGGAAATGGTTCAATCTCTCGTCGTTTTACTAAACGTAGCCTAAAATGATTCTATGGAAATGGTTCAATCTCTCGTCGTTTTTTATATTTTGGAGCCCTTTTACGCCTTTTGTTATCAAAGAGGTTGTTAAATGAAAGGTACCATTAACATTGAAAAACAAGAGATTGGAAGATGAAAATTTGTTTGGATGTGGACTTTGTAGGGTATTGTACAAGAGGCACCTGGGCCGTCCGTTTGGAGAGCGATAGGGACTTGTTGGGCCCGGGCCAGCCCATAAGATTCGTTCTTAGCTATTAAAAGAACACAAATGTGTTGTTGTCTAACCTCAGCATGTTTTGATACTTGCACTATTCAAATAAAAATAGCATCTGTCCTGAACTGAACCCCACTTGATTCAAGAAAGTTGATGAGACTTCAATTCATGAAGAAGAATTTTTATTTATTTATTTTTTATTGATACGAACTTATACTTTCACTATGTTATAAAAAGAATAAAGCATCTTTAGACTTTTGGATGGACATAGTTTTAAGTTTTAACTTTTAACCAATTTTATTACAGCTCCTTTCCTTGACTGAGAAATGCCAGCTGGCGAAAGAACTCGATTCCCAAGAACCGGACCCTTTACCGGTGCCGAGCCTTCAGCTGGCCGTGAAGCCGGAGGATCGCCTGAGCTCCGGCGGCGATGGCAGTGCCGTGGTGGATGATGATGGCCGGCAGCTTTTAGACAGTGGGGATTCCTACTTTCCGGCAGGGGAATACCCGGACTGTATGGCGGCGGTGGCTAGCGGCGGGGAGGAGGATGGCGGCAAGGATGGCCGGAGTTACTTTTCCGATGTGTTTGCGGCGGCTGAGCAGCCGGAGCAGATATATATGGGAGTATTGTGGTAAAATAAGGGTTAGTTTGAGAAATAAATAAATTATGTAATGTGAATCTTGAGTGGTTTTGTGATGTCTTGACTTGTTTGTTTATGTATGAAATGAACTGTGATCAATGTAATAGATATGTATTATGTGGGTTTTATAGTGTGGAAGTAATGAAAAATAATTCGGATTTATTTAGGAATAAGTGGAAAGTCTTATGTTGTGATGGTCAAACTTTTATATTATTTTAGTGCTTTTATTTCTTAAAATTCAAGATTAAAAGTCAAATATTTTGTAAGGACAGTTATATTCAAATATCATATTTAAAAAACAAAATCAAATTTATTGGGATTTTATAGCTGTCTGGCATAGTCAACATAACAGCACCATTTATACCATTTATAAGCAAAATTATTTTACAATCACATTAAATTTCTAGGGGCCATTTTTTTGGAAGTGATCTTATTTTTTTCAATTCATACTTAAAATCTAATTCAATTTTAGTCCATCACATAAAAATGTTCTAGTCCTCAGCCCTAAAACTAGCTCGTCAGCCGTTCCGCAGCGGCGGACCTCCGCCCTGCCGCACCATCCTAGCTTATCCTCTTGTCGGCGGGGAAGCTTATGAGCCATCGCCAGCCGCCTGACTAACGCAGAGTTCGCAACGGCAGTCGGAAGTTTCACGGGCGACGAGCATCGGCCCTAATCTGAACACGTTCTAGCAACAAACAACGATGATTTAGACGTCGACTTCTACGTCGAATTCGACGAGCTTCGGTGGCGGTGTTTTAGCGGGCTCCGACGACGATGACAGCTGGACCTTTTTTTCTTTCTTTCTTTTTTTGTTGTTGCATATGGCGGCGTGAGAACTCTGTTTGAAGAAGACGGCGGCGTACGGATGAGGACGTCAGTAGTGTGAAGAAGACAACGACGTACGGGTGAGGACGTCGGCGGCGTGATGGCCGGCGGCGTAAGGTCCGCGGGTTCCCTGCAGGCGGCGTCTGTGAATATGTATATGTATTGTGTGTGCAGATTTGTGTGTGGGTGTGTGTGCTTGTGTTGTGTATGTGCGTGTGTAGTGCATGTGGGTGGGATGCTGATGTGGCGTGTGTGTATTTGTGTGTGTGTGAGAGAGAGGTTGTGAGGTGGCAGGTGGTCCAATTGTGAGTGGTTATGTTAACATTTGTAAAAATGATAGCACTGTGTAAGATTAAAAATAACATCATACACAATTGAAAATAACATCAAATATGGTTCTCACGGTTCTCATACCAAGATTAATTTTTATTTGAACCAACCTCTATATATATATATACTAGTGTATATCCCGTGCGATGCACGAAGGAGCTTATATTTTAAACCATTTTTTAGATTTTATTTTAAATATAATCTTTTATATTTTTCACATCTCATTTCACTATGTAAATAAAATAAATACAAACATTAATGAAAAATATATATATCAATTGCCACCGTTGTCAGAGCCACTGACGTTGTTTCCATCATACTCACCGCCTCTGCCCTCACGCCGCCACTTTGGGATTGAGCCTCGTTCACGGCGATATTCCGACCGTCGAGCTCTTGAGAAGGAAGAAGAAATAAGGGAAGAATAAAAAGATAAAGAGGAAAAGAGTAGGGAATGACGGAAAAGAAAAAAGTCATTAATATAAAAATTGGTATATAAGTATATTTACGATGAATCTTTGAAAATCTAATAACCAAATTTCGATTATATCACATAAGAAAAAAATAAATGATAATTGTTCATTAATATATTTAATGATAATTTTGAAGTTCAAATAAAGTAAAAGGCGAGATAATTCAAATTTGTTTTCAAAAAGTTTTTATAATGATTAATATTCTGGTAAGTATATCTATAAGAATTATAATCATACCATTTTCATTTCAAAAAATTTGACAAGTTTGTTAATGAGATAAATTCACTTAGATCAAGTTTATTAATGAGATAAATTCACTTAGATAAATAATTAATTAGTTAAAATACTATATTAATTATATTTTAAAAATGCAGTTAGCTAAATGTGGATAAAGAATATTATATTAATTAGTTTGTTACGAAATTGATTATATAGAAATTAATATAAAATTAAATGTGCCCAAAAAATATGTTTGTGATATTTTTTTTAAATATTTAAATTTAAAAATATAATAACTAAATTTAGATTATCTTACATAAGGAAAAAAATAAATAATAAGTATTTATTAATATATTAAAAAATATAATTTTGAATTTCAAATAAAGTAAAAATGGGATAATTCAAATTTGTTTTAAAAAAAGTTTCTAAAGTATTTAATATATTGATAAGTATATCCGTAAGAATAATCTTACCATTTTAATTTCAAAAATTTTGGTAAGTTTGTTAATGATAAATCTGGTTAGATAGATGGTTAATTAGTTAAATTATTAAAGTAATTATATTTTAAAAGATTCGGTTAGAGAAGTGGATTAAAAAAATATTACTTAATTATTTTGTTAGGAATGTGATTAATAAGATAAAATAAAATGTACCAAAAAAATTTATTTGTGATTTTTTCCTTTAAATTTTTGAATTTAAAAATCTAATAACCAAATTTAGATTATATCACATAAGAAAAAAATAAATAAAAAATATTAATTATTATATTTAAAAATATAAATTTGAATTTCAAATAAAGTAAAAGGTGGGATAACTCATTTTTTTTTTTTATTTTTTTTTTTTGTTTCAAAAAAGTGTCTAAAATGGTTAATATTTTGGTAAGTATATCCGTAAGAATAATTATACCATTTTAATTTCAAAAAAATTGACAAGTTTGTTAAAGTATAAATATGGTTAGATAAATAATTAATTAGTTAAAATATTATATTAATTATATCTTAAAAAAGGTTTGATAAATTGAATAAAAAATAATGATATTAATTAGTTTGTTAGAAATGTGAACATATGAAAGTTACGATAAAATGAAATTTACCCAAAAAAAATTTGCTTGTGATATTTTTCTTTGAATGTTTGAATTTAAAAGTATAATAACCGAACTTAGATTATATCACATAAAGAAAAAATAAATAATAAATATTTACTAATATATTTAAAAATATAATTTTGAATTTTAGATAAAGTAAAAGACGCGATAATTTTTAGAATCGTGATTTTTCTAATCCTTCATGTATACCATGTCACGTGGATCGTTAATGCGTGATTTGGATGAAAAATAGTGGAAGTTAAAACATATCAGTAGAAATTGGAATAATCATGTATGATGATTGTATGAGATGAAGTGTGTCGTTCAATGACGTGAACTGTAGTAGTAGTGTTTTCTCATTAGTGTTTCGAGTTCATGACCATTTTATGATTAAACTCAATGAAAAATATTTTAAATCTCTTATAAACTAATGTGAGAGTGATTATGCGTCTTATAAACATCATTTGCGACCAAAATTCAGTGTTTCTATGTGGTCATTACAAGTGATACTAAAGACTCGATATGTGGTACTAAGGCACTATAAAGTGGTACTACCTTACTTTAGGTCCGGTATTACTTTTTTTAAATTTTAACCACAATTGAAATAATTCATCTTGGTTGACCAAAAATAGGTACTAATTGATTAATAACAGATATTGCATAGAAGAATAACAGGTACTATTTTAATAAAAACTGGTACCAGAAGTGTATTAAGTATTGTTTTTTCATTAGTGCGTTGATCTCGTGACCAATTTGCGATTAAACTTAATTAACCAAATTTAAATCTCATATAAACTAATGTGAGAGTGATTATGGGTCGTATAAACATCATTTGCGACCGAAGTTCGGTATTATTTTGTATTCATTACAAGTGGTACTAAAGACCCGATATGTGTTACTAAAGCACCATAGAGTGGTACTACCTTACTCTTGTGTTTTTTCATTCGTGTGTTGAGTTCGTGATCAATTTGCGACTAAACTTAATTAAACACATTTTAAATCTTATAGAAACTATTGTGAGAGTGATAATTGATCATATAAACATCATTAGAGACTGAAATTCAGTATTTTTTTATGTTCGTCGGAGTTGGTACTAAAGACCCGATATTTGGTACTAAAACACCAAAATCTGGGACTATCTTACTCTAGGTCTGGTTCTAATTTTGAAAATGTTGACCAAATTTGAAGTAATAAATTTTTTGTTCTTTATACAAAGTAGGTACTAATTCATCAGGAACCAGTATTGCATAGAAGAAGAGGTGGTATTATTTTTGTAAAAATTGGTACCATCTTACGAAATTCGTTCTTTTTTTTTTTGTTCGTCGAAGTTGGTATTGAAGACTCAGTATCGGTAACTAGAACACCATAATATTGGTATTATCTTACTCTATGTCTGGTCCTAAATTTTGCAAATGTTGACCATTTGAAATAATCCATTTTTTGTTCTTTATACAAAGTAGGTACTGATTCATCAAGAACTGGTACTGCATAGAAAAAGAAGTGGCATTATGTTGGTAAAAAATAGTACCATCTTACGAAATTCGTTTTTTCTTTTTTTTTTTTAATGTTCGTCGAAGTTTGTATTGAAGACCTGGTATCTGGTACTAGAACACCATAATATCGGCACTATCTTACTCTAAGTCTGGTACCCTAGGCCAATTTCGAAAATTATAAACCAGCCGAGGCCAATTTTGAAAATTATAAACAGACCCCAAGGACCAAACTGCATTTTTATAACTTTTAAAAATTGCGAATCCGCCCCATGGACAAAACTGCAATAAACAATAGTTTCATAAATTGCAAATCAATCCCTACTATTCATCAAATTTTCAAAATTGAGTCCTTATTTCCCTTCTCCCGTTCCTTCAGCCTGCCCGCCGCCATCTCAGGCCTCCGCCTAGTCCGAGGCCGGCGTTGTCTCGCTCCGGCGACCTCCCTTGGCTGGTCAAACCGCAGACGAGGTCAGTTTTTTTTCAACATAAGTTCGCCATTAATGGCGGACACGAGCTTAAAGCTCTATTTTCAGCGTCTCGGCATCGCCGCTCGCGTCCAGGGATTTCATCAGGAACAAAGGATTAGTATCATTTCATATAACGAGTGTTTTTTTATTTTCTTCCACATATCAAATTACAAAATGTTCAAAATACAAAGTTATATATTCAACATGTTATGATGATGCAGCACAAAGAAAAACTACGGAAGATGATGAACACGGACTAAAGTACAATCATACTGTTTGATAATTATTCAGTTACTACTCTTTGATAAGGTATCAACACTACAATTACCAGACTAATAGTCTTTTGCATTATAAATTCCAGAAAGTCCACCAGTACAAACATTTCCAAACTTAACAACTCCTGCAAATCCGAGAAAGAAAATTTGTGGAGCAGCCCACCCACCATAGTATCTAAAACAATAAACAATATAATATCAGCAATCAATTCTAATTTTTTCATTATCCTAAGACTTGATTCTCATTTGAACCACATCTTATCTATATATATAATACAAAACTGTAATATATATCCTTGTCAATAAAATTTAAATTTATTTATTGAACTAAATTAATTTTATCAAATAAAACAATAAATTATATTATAAAATAATAGAAATTAGTATGTATTCTTTAAAAATGATATTTATTTCAAACCTAATTGGTATGTTGTCAACGTAATAAAAATAAATAATTATTTATATAAATTCTAAAACTACATATAAAGTTAAAAAACTATGAAGCATGACTGATACGACACTTGATGTATTAGGAATCTAATTAAGTAAAAAAATTAATCTATTTTGCTTGATATTAAATAAACATATTCTACACTTATGCATATACATATCACCATATTATTTATATTTATGTAAGATATATGTTTTTGTACTTATGTAATAGTAAATAATATCGGTATTTTTATATAATATAAGTAAAAAGAAATTCAACACGTGTTGACATTTTCATTTAATGTACATGTGTTTAATTATTATGATTAAAAAAATATAATTTGACAATTTAATTAAATCCAAAGTAATGTTTTATATAAAATTAAATTATTTTAATTTTTAAAAAAATAATATTTTTTACAAATTTTTTTAATTTAACACCCGTGTAATACACGGGTATTGTACTAATAACATGTTAAAATAAAATTTTCAAAATAATTATACATTTCGCTCTTACAAAATAATTATTTTCAAACAACTAATATAATTCACTCAAATCAACAGTTACAAATTACAATATGTTATCAAATATACACTAATACAATAAGTTCTCGGCTATAATTAATTGTGAAACAAAACCAAGAGCAACGTACCACCATGTGAGCTAACTTATAATGAATTGAATGCATGTGGATTGGACATACTATCCTTCAGATAATGTAATAAATGTTATAAAACATGGTGCAATGCCACATCAATTCAAAATGTGGTCTGCTGTGTTTTGCAGTTGATGGGTCAGAACTTTCAACTTTTAAATTATTTAGGGGTGATTATTTATCAATTTATTTAGAAAATAATTGATTTTTTTTTTTAACTATAGTTACTTTTAAAAAAAGTTAGTATAGTTAGTTATTAGTGGATATATTAAAATAATATTTAAAATAAAATAATTAAAGTTGATATGATGTAAAAGTAAGAAAAATGATTGAAAATGATGGTTAGTTAAAATTATGTGAGTAGATGAATAGTGAATTAAAGTTGATGTGATGTGTAAGAATGATTGGTTGGTATTATTTAATTATATTGGTAATAATGAAGATAGTGGAGTTGGGTTAAAGTTGAATTAAATTTAAGTTTTGATTGATTTTTTTGAATTAGATTGATAAACAATTACACTCTTACAGGTCCATTGCATTTAAAATGTTATAAAAGTTGTTGTGTAATTCCGTCTAATGATTAGATGAATCGAGGTCATACTTTTTGTAACAAAATGTATACTTACACTAAAAAAAGTGTATTTTATATATATGTTGCTTATTAACATTATGTCATTTGTGTGTGAAAGCAAACATATTTGTTGAAAAAAAAAATTCATGATTCTCTTTGCGAGATAGCGGATAGGTGATGCATAATTGCAACTAAACTGTATGATAATAAATAGTTGATTTAATTATTAATTTTAATTAGTTGATTGGATTAAAAGATAATGCAAAGTGTATGATAAAAAATTAATTGTTTATGCATGTAAAAATAACTAATTTTGACAAGTTTCTATTCCAAAAATAACTTGTAATGACCATTTTAGAAATTAGTTTTTTTATTCATCCGAAATTTTATTTTAAACTTTTTTGGCCGAACAATAAAAATTGGATGTTTTGATGGGCTAAATTTCTAATTCACTCAAACATTCGATTTAAATTCAAAATATTGATTATGAAAGATGTCGTATAAACTATAATAGTTACAATGTAATGTTGCTAACATTAGTCCATCAAAAAATAGGAAAATATTCTTTGTTTCAAAATTATATTCCAATTCATTGTATTGAATAAATAACACGTATATAATTATAAGTCATCCATAAATAATGCATGAAAGATGAGTTGAAATATCATTTCAAAATATAAAATATCATCGAGCAAAATATTTACGGCCCATGAAGAAGGGGCAGTGGCATACTTGACATTCTGTCTAAGACCCTGGGGCATATCCGGAAACGAAAGATTTTTACCCCCGGTGGTCACGGTAGAATCCTTTTATTCACCGGCTCATCGCCGACCTAGGTTCGAGCAGCAAAACACGCCGTCACTTTTCTTTTACATTGTGAATATACGAGTATTATATAAATACCTCTGCCTCTGCTCAAACTCACGCATTTTTTTTACCCTTGTTTTCACACACAAGTGCGTGCAATAAATACTCTCACCCTTATCCCGTGGCTGCTCCCTCGATTGCTCCGGCTGATTTCCCGTGGTAATTTCTTTTTCCTTTTACTGTTCACTGTATTTTTTAGGTTTTGCTCGAAATTTTATGCTGTTGCTGTGAATCTGCGTACTGTGATCGATCGATCGATAGTTCTGTAGTTGTAGTTGGAATTTGTGGCGGTTGAGATCTTGTGGTGCTGGTGATTCAATTTTTGAGTTTACTGATGCCTGAGCATTTTCGGAACCTTGTTTTTGTTAAATGTGCATTGCTCTTAATTCTCAGTTGGATCGATGTTTGTTTTTTCTGCAAATGGAGTTTTTAGTGTGTCGATTTTAGTCAGTTGCTTGGTTTATCTGCATTTGTTTGTATGTTTTTTCCTTTTGAAGTGATTCGTAATCATTTAGTGATCTGCTTAGATTTGTTTTGGTAAGTTTTGCTGCAATGGAGTTGGATTTGGATTTCTGAATGTCAGTTGCTTGGTTAATCTGCGTTTTTTTTTTTCATCTGTTTTAGATTTTGAAGTGATCATAATCATTTAGTGATCTGCTTAGATTTGTTTTGGTAATTTTTTTGCTGCAATGGAGTGATTTGGCCTTCTGATGTAGTTACTTCTGCTATGTGGCGGTTAATTCTATGTCATTGTGAAATTATGTGAGTAAACATGCTCACCCGTGATTGTTTTTGCTAGATCTGGTGCAGTGGCTATTTAAGTTGATATGTTGTTAATCAGTATCAAATAGGAAGCTGGGATTTGAGGTTTATTTTTCTTTTGCCCTGTGATAAATCATAAAGCCTTTTTTCTGCATCATGTATGTGATTTCATTTTTCTAGGTATATATATCTGTATGTGGCATTTATAAATAGTTATGTACCTATTTTTCTGGATTCAGGTAAATTCCATAATGTCTGAGGTAGCTCTCGGAGATGTCGTTATTATACCTGAGCCTGAGATGCCAAATGGAAGCTCCATTAATGGAAACTCGACAAAGCCTATCCTACAACCACTGGATGAGAATATTGATGGAAAACAAAAGAAACTGATGGCCCCCTCGGCTGACCTTTCAATTAAGCTGGACGAAACAGAAAATTCTAGAGGAGAGGCTCCCAGTTTAGAAGTAGAGTACATTGAATCTGAAAATCTGAAGGATGTGGAAGATGTGGAGAATTGTGTGAAGGTGGGAATACTTCGTGACTAGTCCTTTAATGTTTTTCCGATTATTCCTGGTGAAGCTTGATGCTGGTCCTGGTAGTGACATATCATGATGATAATTGTAAATGTATAAATTGGTTATAATTCATTCATTCTTGTTTACAGACACTTCCATTTGAACTAGGCTCGAAAGACTGGGTTGAGGTTTGTGAGGCGCTCAACAATGTCCGCAGATTGTCTCTATATCACAAGGAATCCATTGTTGCCATACTGTAGGTTTCGCCTTTCATTTGGTCTTTTTTCGTAAAAATTCTGCCAAGTTGAGGTTCTTTTTTTGGCTTCATTTGGTGAATTTTTCTATCATTTGATGAACAGCGGCGATGTGATTGCCTTAGTGCTGAAATCCTTAAAGAACCCCAGAAGCGCTCTCTGTAAAACAGCAATTATGACTTGTGCCGACATCTTCCATGCATATAATGATGACATCATTGAGTTGCTGGATCCACTGGTAATATTTCTTTATTTGATTCAATATTAGCTACTTTACGGATTTCCGTATTCAGAAATAGTTGTCACTGTTACTCTCTATGGTTCAACTTATGTTGTTATTCCTTGTGTAGCTTGTACAGCTTCTGCTTAAATCTTCACAAGACAAGAAGTTTGTGTGTGAAGCCGCTGAAAGTGCTTTAAAATCTCTGACGAGCTCAGTTTCTCCACTTCTATTGCTGCCCAAATTGCTACCTTATATCAAGAACAGGAATCCTCGAATTCGGGCAAAGGCATCCGTGTGCATTTCGCGAAGTGTGCACGAACTGGTAAGCTTTCTTTTATTTTGGTGGCTGTTCAACCAGGCCCATTTTGAATTTTAATTTAATTGGTCAGATTAACGTGTCTTCTAGAGTTTGTCGTCTCCTGTTAGGTGAAATACCGTTCGACACAAGGGTTAAAATTTTCTCTTAATCCTTTTTCTTCACTAAAAGATTCCCAATTAACTGAGAATTGAATTTATTGCAGGACATTGAAGGAATTGGTGAATTCGGTCTCGACAAACTTATTCAAATAGGTGCATCCCAGCTTAGTGACCAGCTTCCAGAATCTAGGGATGCTGCTCGTTCGCTTTTATTGGAGTTGCAATCCGTATATGAAATATCGCACGTTCATGACCCAAATGCTGTATCTGAAGAGCCTGCTATAGCTTCATGGGAGCAATTTTGCCAATCAAAGCTTTCCCCTTTGAGTGCTCAGGCCGTGCTTCGTGTGACCAGTGTTGCTCGGGAGGGGCTCGTGGGCTCATAGCACACGGGCTTTAGCAAGTGATATTCTTTTTTCAGTTGGGTTTGTATTGCTCACTTGTGTATACAATATATCATGCATGATTATTGAAAGTTTGATGTGTTTGGTGAGGCAATTGATGCGGATAATATATCTGCTGTTGATCCTATGGCACATTGGATAATTGATGTCTATTAGCGACAAAATCAAATATTTACAGTACCCTACTTGTTATGAATTTGTGCCATTTTTTTCCTTTCAAATATACGGTATTTATTCTTTTCAGCCTTTGCCCCTCAAGTCTTAGTGTAGTATATCTCTGTTTACTATCATATTTGTTCATTATCTGGCTAAAACTGAAATGATTTCAACTAAAATGTACTTTATAGTTCTGCACATGTCGTCCTCATAGAACCCAAAATTTGTGTTATGTGTGTTATCCAGAAATCAAATAAACTTACTTTACCAATACATTAGAAGTCGAATAGTGATTACACAAATTAATATGCAATTTATATCATGCAAAAACCTATACTATACATCACCCGAATCGATCGATCTAACGTAACCTAGCTAAACCTCCTCAAAGAAATCCGGCTCGTTCGGCTTGAACAACTTCGTCATCTTCAAGCTCGACGATGAAGCATCCGCCATGTTATGTGCCCTCTCGGCCGCCCCTCCCTTCACATTTGCTGCGAACTTCGAAGCCAAAACCGTGGCCCCGAAATCTTGAACCCGACCGCCGAACGACCCTTCCGCCACCTCATCATCATCACCATCACCATATCTTCCCGTCTCGTACAAAGCCAACTCCTTAGCCAGCCTCCGTTTTTTAAACCTCCGCCACGCGGCCTGCACAAAACACGCGGCCCACGTGCGCCATTGGTGCGAATAGTATCGGAAAGCGTGTTGGAGGCGCATGCTGTGTAGCCGCTTGAATTGGGCCGCCACGAAGCGGAGGTCCTCGGATTGTAAAGCGAAGGCCTCGACCTCGGTTAGCGTGCGCACGGTCCGCGTGGAGGACGGGAGGTTGAGAGGGGAGTTCGGGACGAGGGCCCACGTGAGGAGCTCCTCGCCGCAAAAATCGCCCGGGCGGAGGGTGATGGAGTTGAAGAAACCCGAGCGGCCGCCGTTGGTGGTGGAGCTCTCCATCGTGCCGCGGATGATGAAGAGCATCTCGTTCACGGGGTCGCCCTCGCGGACGATGTAGCTTCCGGGGGTGCTCAGGGAGGAGGAGAGGCGGCCGCAAATCGCGTCGAGGAGTTGGTCGTCCATCTGGGCGAAAAACGGAACCTAGTCGAAAACAAATAAATAAATAAATGATAAATTAATCAGTAGATGATCGGTAGAGAGGATGCAGGGTTTTGATATTAGACAGACTAACAGTTGAATAATAGTTTTTAAGCAAAAAGGTTTACCTTTTGTGTGTATTGCTTTATAAAGCATGTTATATGTACGTTAAAAAGTATGCGTTCTTGTTAAAAAAGAAAGTATTTTATTGTCTAACAGTTAGGTCTGTCTGTTTGTCTAACATTTACTACAGCCAGGTCACCCATTTAGGAAAACAACGGGGGACCTAGCCCCATTGTGGATGCAGAGTTTTGGTACCGGAGATTACTAACTTTTAATTGGTCCACTATATTTAAGAAAAACAAATTCTTTTGTGAGGCAGACTAATAGTTGGACGGATCGACCTGTAATAGTTTTTAAGCAAAAATGTATACATTTATGTATATTGTTTGATAAAGTAGGCTACATATGTATTAAAATATGCATTCTTGCTAAATAGAAAGTATTGCTGTCTAACAGTTAAAAAAGTTCGTTAGCTGTGGCAATTTCAGGGGTATGCTTGTGATTTCGAATGAGCAACGAAAGTACAAAAACCCTTCGAAAAACTAGGCTAAACTTTTCCCAGCTAGAATAAGAATGACTTACTCGTCGAACAAGGTTGAGACACAAATGCCTCTGGATTTCCCGGCGAAGGTCGGGTGGCAACGACTGTAGGATTGAGTCCTCATTGACTCCTCTTGTGGTGAGCCATTTGTATTGCTCGAATCTCCGTACGCGTTCTTGCAAATCGGGAGGCAATTGACGACGCCTCATCCATTCTTCCATGTCCCGTCTCTTAACTCGCCACTCTTCGAGTCTCACGGTCATTGATTGCAAATATGTCTTCAATATCCCATAGATCAAGAAACAAAGAACAATAACTAAGTGCTAACATGAGACAAAAAGGGATGAAAAAAAATAGATATGATTTTCATATTCCATCTTTATTGAGTGAAGATCATATCAAATAAAGCTTAAAAATGGATATATATCTATACTAATTTCTACCTGCATATTGCCGATAAGCTGCGAAAATAGAATCAAACCGAATATACACAAGATAATGCAGAACGATGTCTCGCCTATGTAGGTGCTCGTCGTCAGATTCTGACCATATGAACTGCAAACAAGGTTAGAAGCTATAGCAAACACAAGATTTCTATTTTTTTTTTTTTTTTATATATATATTTATCAAACAAACAGAGGAACAAAGGTAAGATAAAGAAGAAAAACCCAATTTATCCCACACCTCAAATTTCTCAACCCCCACCATAGGCAGTAAAGATACTTCTCAAAGAACCGAGAGGAAGCAACTTCGCTAGTAAAAGCATCAGCAAACATCCCGAATTTAAAATCTGAATCGTCATATCTCGCGTCACACCGAGAAAGCACGCTCGTCATATTCAACCAATACTGACGTTCGAGACTCCCAGCTAACGGGCTCGAGCAGTCGAGGAATTTCAAGTTACACGGCGGGATTTTTTCGAGCTCGTCGATACATCCTTCTTGCCAGCAAGAATATTGCCTTCCTATAGATGCTAAATACCACGAAGCTCCTAAAACCTACATAAAACGAGTAAAAAAATCCCGTAAACGAAAAAAAAAAAAATAGAAACTAAATTTGTATCAAGAAAAGAGGTAAATCACTCACATGGCTAGCCAGCATGTAAAGAAGAAGGTTATATGCTGCTCCAGCCCAGGCAGTTTTAGCGATAAAGCCGGTTGTTTTTATAATCCGTTGATTTAAGGGGAAAATGACGAATAATCTCGGGATATATTGGAGGAGGACTATAAGAGCTAGCGTGTTGTTCGATTGGCCGGTGCTGTTTGTTTTAGTTGCCGGAATTACATACCAGATGACAATCTGCACGGGACAAACAGAGAAAATTAATTTACCTGGAAAATTCCGAATATTGTAGCAAAATATGAAACAATCGGACACGACGATTAACCGAGACGAAATAAAATTACTAAAAATCTTTCAAATTGTGAATAGAAACCTCATCTACGCTTTGCATACATTGCATTTTTAACCAACATAAAAAATTCCAAAAAAAAAAAGCCAAAAAACACTTCTATTGATCAACTATTGATAATTTAATCTCTTTTCATATAAAAAACCAAACCAAGCACAGAAAAACAAACAAAACTATAAGAGCTGAGTGTGTTGTTAGACTGGCCAGTATTGATTGGTAATGACAATCTGCACAGGGAATCAGAGTAAATTAAGCCGAAAAGTTCCAAATATTGTAGCAATACGAAACACTCGGACATGATCTTCCTATTTCCACCATAATAGCTGCTCAACTTCATTAACCGAGACAAAACAAAATGACTAAAATTGTTCGAATTCTGAATAGCAACCTCATCTACACATTGCCCTTATTGCACTTCACGAATATGAAAACATAAAATCTAGTGTAAGGCTGTCTTACCATTAGGCTGATCGACTCATCATACAATTTGAACAAAAAAGCATACTTATACTGTCGAATGTCATGCTTCTCACAATTTCAAATAAAAATATGATTATTAGTAAAAAAAAGAAAAAAAGAAAAAAATTATGTCGGCCTAATAATACCAAAAATACCAGCCTAACACAACACAAGACCAATCAATATGAAAAAAATACCAAAAATGCCAAAAGAACTTCTATAGATCAACTATTGATAATTCAATCTCTTTCCGCAAAAAATAATCAACCAAAAAAGAAAAACATAAAAACGTTATCGAGATACGGATCAAATCGAATTTCTACCTGAGGCAAGGGAAGCGTGGCCGTTAGATCAATCACGAAATCCGACCGTAAATACCTCCTCCGAATCTCGACCGGGTCCATAACTAACTCCCCTCGTCCGAAAACCCTAGAGCTCGGGGCCACGAACGCCATTCGGAACTTCATGAGCATGTGAAGGAGGTAGAAAAAGTCGAACACGGTTCGAAAATACGTGATGAGAACCGATGCGTGATTGTCGACGGACATACACGTGGCGCCATCGACAACATAAGGAAGGTAGAAGTAAAGTGGATCGATCGAGAGTGAAATGAGACATGTGATGAGGAAAATGTGGTTCCAATGATTGACGATGTCACTATTCGGGTCGAGGATTTGGTAGTGCCATAGAATGCTAAGGGCATTGAGTTCGCCGGCGTCGGCGTCGGCGTCGGCCGCCGGACGGTGGTGGGTGAGGGTTCGCCGGAGGTGGCGGAGGTGGGAAATGGGCCGGGAGAATATTCAACTTTTGGCCGTTGGTAGTTTGAGGAAACGCGGGAAATTCGGGAATTTTTTTGTGTACACTAATTTATTCATCGAGAAAGGGAAACAAAAAGGAAAGTAAAGGAAAAAGACCCATTTGGAGCGAATTTCATTTGGGCAATTTGCTAGCAGAAAAGGCCGGGCCGGCCTTCTTTTTTATCCCAGGAATATTATAAAATCATTTGAGAAAGAAAATTACTATACGTCCATCTGCAATTTTTTTTTTTTTCATTTGTACAGTGAATTTTTTTTTATGATTGCAGTATTTTAATTTTTACAATTTATGAATTGTTGATTTTGACAATTTTAAATGTATGATTTTTTAATTTTTGACCAGTTTATAATAATTTATGCAATTTTACATTGAATATATCGTATTTTATATTAAATAAATAAATAAAAATGTGTAATACACATGTAAAAGGTGTAAAATAATTTACAGTTTATAGGAAGGTGTGTGATTTTATTTGGTCTCATGATGAAGTTCCAAATATACCCCATATGGTGGAAGGCAGGAAGCAGTCAAACCAAGATCTGCCTAGGAATATATATATTACGTACTCACAATTATTTACACATGGGCCTCTGATGTTTTAATTATTTCTTTGTGGGCCAAAGCCCAATTGTACAATACCTAGTTGATACATGAAAAAATTATCCCCTAGACGACCAAATTTTCTTAGATGTACATATTAACGGTACAAAAAGTTATATTCCGTTGCACTCTAATACCATGATCTATCAAATATTTAATTCCACATTCACAATGTTTTGACTTTTTTTATAAATCTAATTGATTAGTTAATGTATGGAACAGAAAAGGTAATAAACATAATGTTGGGAAGTGTGATTTCTCACACAATTTATTGCTAGTTTATTTTGGTTGAAGAATAGTTCATTGTCGATTTATTTCGTTAAGTTTAATTACGATTTTAATTGATAATTTATTCAATATATTTTCTAGTTGATAAATTGTTTATTTTTTCTATATTATAACATGACTCTGTCCTTTTGTTTTTTCCAACATACTTTTGTGTTTATTCTTTGTATTTTTTACTAGGATATCTTTTAGTTGATTTGTTTAGTATTATATTCACACATTTTTTTTATATTGATTTATAATTAGTGAAGGTGGTCTTTACTCAATATCATTGTTGTAAACTTGTATATATATTGTTTCTTAAATGTAAGGTATAGTTGTGGTTTAAATACAATAGTCAATAAACATGAAAATATAGTCAATCATCATATACCAAGCGTAGTATATTTATGGTTTAACTATACTAAACATATAATTCATAAATAAAATATAACTAATTTTCACTTTATATAATAAAAAATATATACAGGGAAAAAAATCAATTACGCTAAAGTTTTAGAAAATTAATTAAACAAATATTATTGATCATTAATTTGTTTATACAAGTATTCTAAAAAAATATCATCTTTTTATATAGCAGTATTAATTTTTGATTTTTTTAATGCTTGCATTAAATATTTCACTTACAAATTGCATGGACGTTTTCTTATATAGTGTGAATCAAGCACTGATTAATAGAGTGATTTCTACTGTTTCAATTGTGTTTGGAGAATTGAGGATCATCACAGTTACCGCTATGGAATTCCAAACTTTTGGCCGTTAATATGTAAAACATAAAAAATAGGCTCATATACATGTACTTAAGCCTTGGGCCCTCTGTTTTCTCCGACAGTATGTAGATGCTAATTGCATGGCCCACACTCTTAAGCCCACTTTTCCGATTAAGCCCACTAATTAGTTTCCAAATTTGTAACATATTCATATGTTCGCTAGAGTTTCTGAATATAGTAATCCACATTTATATTTGTGAGGACTAATTTAGCTCAAGCAGTTATGAAACAAGAGTGAATGTTTTCGCATTTTCAATCCGTTATATGCGATTCAATGATAAAAAAATCGATATTATTATATCCAACTCTTGTTGAAATGAATTAATTATAAAACAAGATCGAAGATAAAAAATGATACGATAGTACACAGCTCAAAACACGACACGAAAATGCACGAAATGAAAATTTCGGTCAATTTTTTTTTTTTTTTTCTCATT